ATCACCTACACAAACTGGTATCCCTATACACTACATTACGTAAGCACACACATTAGATCCTCTACAGTAACACATAACACATCCCCTACACACTCCACTCCCTGTGAGTTCATGGGTGGAACATGTAGGTGGACTTATGGGTGGGCTTTATGGGCATACTCACCGTCAGGCCCTGGGGCCCAGACCTTGAGCTATGTAAGAGGCCCCAAAAAATGGAGCTGCTTCCCGTTCTCCCAGAACATTGAATTTTGTGACCACAGTTACAAACAGCCTCCAGAGATCCTGTTCTACACCAGACCAGTGGAGCCAGACTGCAGCCAGAGCCCATCACCATCACCATCACCATCCTCATCTGGTTGTAAGTAGGCAATCTAGTATATTATTAGTGACACTAATCTCTAATTTACCTCACATTAAATGGACACTATAGTCCCCAGAACCACTGCAGCTTAATAAAGTTGTTCTGGTGTCTATAGTTTGTCCCTGCAGGCTTTTTAATGTAAACACACACTATGTGCAGCACTGGCATTAGTTCTATGGGTGGGGCATTGCGATGTTCCGGGGGGGGGGGTGGCAAATCCTTCTTTTGCCTAGGGCGGCAAAAATCCTTGCACCGGCCCTGATCCTTCCTATCTGTGAACCGAAGGGCAAGCAACTCATCTTGGCGGAGAGCTAAAGAGGAACCTCTACTGCTTCTACCTCTTGTCAGGGTTTGGGGGAAACCCCTGCGATTCTTCCGCACTGTGCCACAGGCTAGAGTTTTAAAGCAATATAATTTTTTAAATAACTACTGGTATAGTAGTTGTCAACCCATAGCCTGTATCCCTTATTTAATAAGGGAAGGATTAGATCCCAAACAATCTTGCCACTTGTACCCACAGAATCAGGGCATCCTGGTGGGTTAAGATGGTAAATGCGAAACGCCCATGTGTAACGAGTACAGGATTCGCATCATTTATAAAATTTAACGCCATATCCCGACCGCTTAGATGGTATAAATTGTTTAAAGAGCAGTCGACCTTTGAATTTCATTAGGGATTCGTCAATTGAAATATTTTTTTCAGGGACATAATTTTCCGGAACTTTGTCTGACAGGTTGTTGGATAAAGGGCCGAATTTTATAGAGCCTGTCAAACAGTGGGTCGTTTCTAGGGGGACACAGTGAGTTATCATTAAAATGAAGGAATCGCAGCAGTTACAGGTTGCGATCCCTCTGCATAACCTCAGGGAAAAGAGGGTGGCCAGGATGCATTGCTTGCTCCAGTAGGACTCGATACTGGGCTCCCCCCCCCCCATATTTAAAGTTTTTTTATTTTCATAAAAAGTGAAATGGGGTACAGAATATAAAAGGGTAGGGGGAAGACATGACCAATACAACTGTTCATTCCAAATTACATAGTATAAGTTAAAGTGTTGGATATACAAACGCATAGCATTATAACTACAACTGTACACCAGTAGATAACAACCTGTCTCAGCCCTGTGTTTTACATGATTGGCACAACATGCCTTTCCCCTGTTTCCGGTAGCCCTCTGAGTAATTCTATTACACATAAATTTTCGGAAATTAGGGGTCACGATGTGTGTCCATGTGAATCTACCTGCAGCAGGGTGTCGTAATATACTCTTTAAGAATATGCTGGTTTCTTGGGTTTTAATCTCTAAGTTGGGGTATTAAGTGAACCTTCCTGACTGATATCTTGGGTGAGGTACTACTGGCAGAATATATTTGTGTTTATGTCAAAACGCCCCTCAGTCTTGTGATCACATACATTGCATTGTGCATGAGAAGTGGTTCAGATAGGTTGTCTGTTAGGGCTTTGGGTGGCCCATTAGGGCAAGCCATGGTTTCCACAATTGTTCTGTCTGTCTCGTTTTCTCATGTGAGACTGAGGAGAGCACCTCATATCTATAATATTGGTACACTTTATCTAGTAATTCTTTGTGTGAGGGGCAGTATGTGCTTTTCCAGTGTTGGGCGAGGAGATTTCTTGCTGCTAGAATGACAAGTGAAGCTAGTTTTTTAGTTTCCCTCTTCCATGTGGTTGGGAAGAGCAGCAGAAGTGCCACTGATGATGTGAGAGGCAGTGGATAAGCTATTATTCTTTTTAGTATCTGTTGTACTTGCATCCATAGAGGTTTAATCTCTCTACATTCCCACCAGATGTGGGTCATAGTGCCTTCGTCTGAGCTACAACTCCAGCAATTAGGGTCTACTGCAGGGTATATTTGATGGAGCCTTTGTGGGGTAAGGTACCATCGCTATATTACCTTTTTGTGAGCTTATATGTGAGAAAAGCAAGATGTAAGACCTTTAAGAGCATTTAATGATTGGAGCCACTGCTCGTCTGTGAGTTTGGGCATACCCTCCTTCTCCCACTGGGCTGCGTATTTGAAAGAATGAGGTGGTGTATGAACCAAGAGACAAGGTCTTGGGTTTAGTAGGTGCAGAATGACATCTTATGGATACTGGGCTTTTTAACTATACCCATAACTAGGGTTAAAGCCCAAAACCGCTTCATCTCTGCACATATTTCTGCGACCCACGGATGTGCATGTCGTCCAACATAAAGAGCTCAAAAAAACTAATTGTCTCTCAGTCGTCCACTGTTACAGTGATGCCAGGTGTAACAGTGAAATACGGTATTTCTGCTGCCATCATGTTTGGGGGCACCCAGTCTCCGTCTGGCATTGGGCATTCTGAGCATCCTCTTGTAAGTGGTGGTGGGGCACCATCACTTGAGGACTCGCTCAGAGGCTCAATGTCAGAGGCAGTAATAGTGTCACTGTCTTGCAGAGTGTTGCTGTCACTGACTGCCAGAATGACATACGCCTCCTCTGCTGAGTAGTGGCATGCCATTTTAGGGGAACAAATCAATTATCTAATAAAAACTAAGGGGGTAATTACTAATGTTTCACCTGCCTAACTCCCACTACCCATCCTCGAAAAATAAAATAAATGTACTGATCACAGTTTAGGCAGCTGGGATCAGTACCTAAAGGGTTATTTTTATTTTATTTATTTTTTAATAAAAAATAACCCTAAAAAAAGGGTCAGCCTGATCAGAGAGCCCTCTGATCACAGTGATCACTGATACAGTACTGTATAGCAGATATATTGTACAGTACAGTGAACACGGCCCCTAAAAATTCTATAGTCTATAGAATTTAGCCAAAGACAATTCACTCCCACTTAATATAATTTATTGCTTCTATATTAGAACAGTTTGGTTACTGGCTCTGCATGTTCACAGAAGCATAATAGACCCTGACACGCATTTCGCTGTGCAGCAACCTTAAGCCTCATGATTCTTCAGAAGGGACTGACCGATCCCTTTTTCGCTAAAACAGGCCTTACAGTATCTATTACAACAAAGTCTGACCAATATAGGACAGCACCGTTCTGTTCGATCTACCTGACATAACTGTCAATACCTACAGAGTCTGATCCATAAAGGACAACATCGTTCTGTTCCTTCTATTTGACACTACTGTAAAAACCTATTGAGCATTTAGCTCTTAGTTTTATCCATTACCTTTTCCTTTCAATTAAATTTTTTTTTTCCATTTTTCTTCTTATAAATCATTATTTACACTTGGTGGAAAACTTGGTATAACAACCTTTTTTTTTTGCATACATTATGTATTGCATACATTATTAAACATTAAGTTTTAACAATATCGTTTATAAGGACTTCTGACAAACAGCAATGAAAGGACCTTACCCTAACAAACTCCTGATTTAAGTCGCTTATGCATTGATTCCATTACAATGGGTTATCCCCCACACAGGAGTTTACACTTCTATTTAAAAACTTTTGGTTATCTAATGAGAGAAATACACTGAGGGTCCTCCCCCCTCGCAGCCCACCCAGCGTTCACTCACAAATCCCACCTGGTCTGCATGGATGAGTGTGGGGATGATTTGGGATAATCTGTTGTATTAGATTTTGGTGAGTAGTTTGGTGTCTGTATGAAGTAGTGATATTGGTCGCAAATTTGGGCTCTTGGTGCGAGGTTTCAAATTTTAAATTTAAGGTGAAAATAGCCAAACTGGAAGAATTCTCCAGATCAGCTATGCTTTTAACTCAGCTAATCTGACCTTAAGTTTGTAATTTACTTTGAATTTTTACTTTAGAAAATAATACTTTATGTACTGGATTATTTTTTAAAATAACAGGTTCTTCTCAAAACTTTGCACACACAAGCTGGTCCCATATGGATACATTGAAAGGCAGGCAGGGTCTCTTGATGTGTTCAATCTGCATTTATTATATTCACACTGAGAACTTATTCATTTGTCTTGTGTGTACATTATTCCTGTAAGGTGTGTGATTGTGTCAGTGTGTGTGACAGTGTGTGTGATTGTGTCAGTGTGTGATTGTGTCAGTGTCTGTGACTGTGTCAGTGTGTGATTGTGTCAGTGTGTGATTGTATCAGTGGGTGTGATTGTGTCAGTGGGTGTGACTGTGTCCGTGTATGTGACTGTGTCAGTGTGTGATTGTGTCGGTGTGTGTGATTGTGTCAGTGTGTGTGACTGTGTCAGTGTGTGTGACTGTGTCAGCGTGTGTGATTGTGTCAGTGTGTGATTGTATCAGTGGGTGTGATTGTGTCAGTGGGTGTGACTGTGTCCGTGTATGTGACTGTGTCAGTGTGTGATTGTGTCAGTGTGTGTGATTGTGTCAGTGTGTGTGACTGTGTCAGTGTGTGACAGTGTCAGTGTGTGACAGTGTGTGTGACAGTGTCAGTGATTGTGTCAGTGTGTGTGACTGTGTCAGTGTGCGTGATTGTGTCAGTGTGTGTGATTGTGTCAGTGTGTGACTGTGTCCAGTGTGTATGTGACTGTGTCAGTGTGTGATTGTGTCAGTGTGTGTGATTGTGTCAGTGTGTGTGACTGTGTCAGTGTGTGACAGTGTCAGTGTGTGACAGTGTGTGTGACAGTGTCAGTGATTGTGTCAGTGTGTGTGACTGTGTCAGTGTGCGTGATTGTGTCAGTGTGTGTGATTGTGTCAGTGTGTGACTGTGTCCGTGTGTGTGACAGTGTCAGTGTGTGACTATGTCAGTGTGTGATTGTGTCAGTGTGTGTCACAGTGTCAGTGTGTGTGATTGTGTCAGTGTTTGTGACAGTGTCAGTGTGTGTGATTGTTTCAGTGTGTGTGACTGTGTCCGTGTGTGTGATAGTGTCAGTGTGTGTGACAGTGTCAGGGTTTGTGATTGTGTCAGTGTGTGTGATTGTGTCAGTGTGTGTGATTGTGTCAGTGTGTGTGGTTGTGTCAGTGTGTGACTGTGTCCGTGTGTGACTGTCAGTGTGTGATTGTGTCAGTGTGTGTGACAGTGTCAGGGTTTGTGATTGTGTCAGTGTGTGTGATTGTTTCCGTGTGTGTGATAGTGTCAGTGTGTGTGACAGTGTCAGGGTTTGTGATTGTGTCAGTGTGTGTGATTGTGTCAGTGTTTGTGACTGTGTCAGTGTGTGATTGTGTCAGTGTGTGTGACAGTGTCAGTGTGTGTGATTGTGTCAGTGTGTGTGGTTGTGTCAGTGTGTGACTGTGTCCGTGTGTGTGACAGTGTCAGTGTGTGATTGTGTCAGTGTGTGTGACAGTGTCAGGGTTTGTGATTGTGTCAGTGTGTGTGATTGTGTCAGTGTTTGTGACAGTGTCAGTGTGTGTGATTGTTTCCGTGTGTGTGACTGTGTCCGTGTGTGTGATAGTGTCAGTGTGTGTGACAGTGTCAGGGTTTGTGATTGTGTCAGTGTGTGTGATTGTGTCAGTGTTTGTGACTGTGTCAGTGTGTGATTGTGTCAGTGTGTGTGATTGTGTCAGTGTGTGTGATTGTGTCCGTGTGTGTGACTGTGTCAGTATGCGATTGTGTCAGTGTGTGTGACAGTGTCAGTGTGTGACTGTGTCAGTGTGTGTGACTGTGTCGGTGTGTGTGATTGTGTCAGTGTGTGTGACTGTGTCAGTATGTGTGATTGTGTCAGTGTGTGACTGTGTCAGTGTGTGTGACAGTGTCAGTGCGTGATTGTGTCAGTGTGTGTGACAGTGTCAGTGTGTGGCAGTGTCAGTGTGTGTGACTGTGTCCGTGTGTGTGATTGTGTCAGTGTGTGTGACAGTGTGTGTGACTGTGTCAGTGTGTGTGATTGTGTCAGTGTGTGATTGTGTCTGTGTGTGTGACTGTGTCAGTGTGTGTGACAGTGTCAGTGTGTGTGACTGTGTCAGTGTGTGTGATTGTGTCAGTGTGTGACAGTGTGTGTGACTGTGTCAGTGTTTGTGTCAGTGTGTGACTGTGTCAGTTTGTGATTGTGTCAGTGTGTGAGAGTGTATGTGACTGTGTCAGAGCTTGTGTCAGTGTGTGACTGTGTCAGTGTGTGTGATTGTGTCAGTGTGTGTCCGTGTGTGTGATTGTGTCAGTGTGTGTGTGACAGTGCCAGTGTGTGTGATTGTGTCAGTGTGTGTGACAGTGTGTGTGACTGTGTCAGTGTGTGATTGTGTCAGTGTGTGATTGTTTCAGTGTGTGTGACTGTGTCAGTGTGTGATTGTGTCAGTTTGTGTCAGTGTGTGTGTCAGTGTGTGTGACAGTGTCAGTGTGTGTGTCAGTGTGTGTGTCTCAGCATTGTGTCAGTGTGTGTGACAGTGTCAGTGTGTGATTGTGTCAGTGTGTGCGATTGTGCCAGTGTGTGTGACAGTGTCAGTGTGTGATTGTGTCAGTGTGTGACTGTGTCAGTGTGTGAGATTGTGTCAGTGTGTGACTGTGTCAGTGTGTGTGACAGTGTCAGCGTGTGTTATTGTGTCAGCATGTGATTGTGTCAGCGTGTGTGACTGTGTCAGCGTGTGTGATTGTGTCAGTGGGTGTGATTGTGTCAGTGGGTGTGACTGTGTCTGTGTGTGTGACTGTGTCAGTGTGTGATTGTGTCAGTGTGTGTGACTGTGTCAGTGTGTGTGATTGTGTCAGTGTGTGTGACTGTGTCAGTGTGTGACAGTGTCAGTGTGTGTGACAGTGTCAGTGATTGTGTCAGTGTGTGTGACTGTGTCAGTGTGCGTGATTGTGTCAGTGTGTGTGATTGTGTCAGTGTGTGACTGTGTCCGTGTGTGTGACAGTGTCAGTGTGTGACTATGTCAGTGTGTGATTGTGTCAGTGTGTGTGACAGTGTCAGGGTTTGTGATTGTGTCAGTGTGTGTGATTGTGTCAGTGTTTGTGACAGTGTCAGTGTGTGTGATTGTTTCAGTGTGTGTGACTGTGTCCGTGTGTGTGATAGTGTCAGTGTGTGTGATTGTGTCAGTGTGTGTGGTTGTGTCAGTGTGTGACTGTGTGCGTGTGTGACTATGTCAGTGTGTGATTGTGTCAGTGTGTGTGACAGTGTCAGGGTTTGTGATTGTGTCAGTGTTTGTGACAGTGTCAGTGTGTGTGATTGTTTCAGTGTGTGTGACTGTGTCCGTGTGTGTGACAGTGTGTGTGATTGTGTCAGTGTGTGTGATTGTGTCCGTGTGTGACTGTGTCCGTGTGTGATTGTGTCAGTGTGTGTGACAGTGTCAGGGTTTGTGATTGTGTCAGTGTGTGTGATTGTGTCAGTGTGTGTGACTGTGTCCGTGTGTGTGATAGTGTCAGTGTGTGTGACAGTGTCAGTGTGTGTGATTGTTTCAGTGTGTGTGACTGTGTCCGTGTGTGTGATAGTGTCAGTGTGTGTGACAGTGTCAGTGTGTGTGATTGTTTCAGTGTGTGTGACTGTGTCCGTGTGTGTGACAGTGTGTGTGACTGTGTCAGTGTGTGTGACTGTGTCCGTGTGTGACAGTGTCAGGGTTTGTGACAGTGTCAGTGTGAATGAACACAGTGCTGCCAGATGAAGGGCAATCTGGGTGTCAAGGTGTGCAGCACGGGAAATAAACATCCGGCGACCTGAGTTGCTCTGACCTCACGCTGTGCATTGTGGGCATTGCAGTTTGCTGTGCGCTCGCTGTGTTCGCGGTGGTGACGGTTTACACTACATCTCCCAGAATGCCGCGGGCGCGCACAGTCTATGTGCATGTATGGCTGGCACAGGGCGATGATGAACTCTCTGGCGAGTCGCGGTCGCTGCTGGTGGCCCCTGCTGGGTAAAGGCTGCCGGGCGGGGACCCGCTGGATGGGAAGCAGGCGGGAGGAGGCCAGGAACAAGCCCCTCAAGCAGTGGACTCTGATTGTGAGCCCGCTGAGCAGCCTGAGGGTGGCCGTACCGTGCAACGTGAGTGTCAGACCCCAGGACCCCCTCACATACCCCAACGCAGACCGGGTGTTCGTCATGGTGAGCGGCATAGACCGCAACGTGCACCGCGGGCTGGACCTGGACAACATCCAAGTGAGATACGATGAGGAGTCCAGACAGGTGCTGATCCAGTCCCAGGACATTGACAGCCAGACCTGTGTAGATATCACCACCCCAATGCGATTTGGTTAGTACCCCACTGTTCAGAGCATGCTGGGTAAATACTGTGTGCCAGGGTCTGTGTGTCAGTCCTCACTCACTGTGTGCTCTGCCAGGGTCTGTATGCCATCCCTCACCCACTGTGTGCTCTGCCAGGGTCTGTGTGTCAGTCCTCACCCATTGTGTGCTCTGCCAGGGTCTGTATGCCATCCTTCACCCACTGTGTGCTCTGCCAGGGTCTGTATGCCATCCTTCACCCACTGTGTGCTCTGCCAGGGTCTGTATGCCAGTCCTCACCCTGTGTGCTCTGCCAGGGTCTGTATGCCAGTTCTCACCCTGTGTGCTCTGCCAGGGTCTGTATGCCAGTCCTCACCCTGTGTGCTCTGCCAGGGTCTGTATGCCAGTCCTCATCCTGTGTGCTCTGCCAGGGTCTGTATGCCAGTCCTCATCCTGTGTGCTCTGCCAGGGTCTGTATGCCAGTCCTCACCCTGTGTGCTCTGCCAGGGTCTGTATGCCAGTCCTCACCCTGTGTGCTCTGCCAGGGTCTGTATGCCAGTCCTCACCCTGTGTGCTCTGCCAGGGTCTGTATGCCAGCCCTCACCCTGTGTGCTCTGCCAGGGTCTGTATGCCAGCCCTCACCCTGTGTGCTCTGCCAGGGTCTGTATGCCAGCCCTCACCCTGTGTGCTCTGCCAGGGTCTGTATGTCAGTCCTCAACCTTTGTGCTGTGCCAGGGTCTGTATATCTGTTCTGGGCTGTGTGCAATCTGAGACACTGGCCATACATGCTCAGGTCCTTCTATGGGAAGGAAGAAATCAGTCCAAGTTGGCCATGAAGCATGTGTACACTGCATTCACAACTTGGTATAGGCTGCTTGAGGTTGGCATTATAACAACATTATCTCAGTGAAAAAATGACTGTTTACTTTTACACTCCTAACGTGACGCTTATCTAGTTAATCCTTGAGGTGGACGACAGCCTAAAATTAAACAAGTTAAGGTAACATTGTATTTTAATAATGACCGTAAATAATAAAATACGCTAAAGTACACTTTTACCACAGTCTGTTTAATTTAGAATTTCTTCACTCATGCACTGTTAAAAGCTTGCCAGACCTTGCAAACCCTCCTGTTTGTGATTAAAGTTCAAATTACAAAACAGGGGATAAAACATTCTAAAGTAAGTTAACATCTCATTGAAAATAAAACCTTTTTTTTCCATGCAGGCTGAGTTGTATAATATTAAATTTTGGGGGTTTACCTATTACATTGTGAGCAAAGTGTAGTTTAATGCATGTAATGATCTCCCTGCATATGGTATATCTGGCATGGAGTTACCTTTCTGCAGTAGGGAGCCCTCATAATCTCCTTGCTATATGATTAACCACTTCACTCCCTCAATTAAGTAAAAACATTGTACTTTAATGAACTTTGAAGAATAAAATGAAGTCCAAATAAATTCACTCACCACAATTTTACTCTAGAAATGATCTTTAGATAAAAGAATTCCTGTTCCAGAAATTTCATTGGAGCTTTAGTACTAACTGGAAACTGTCTTGACCTATTTGTTGTTGACACCCCCCTTAAAACAATATATTTTCTAAGCAGAGTTTCATTACATCCTATAAACTGTATATGGTCTATTATCTAAACTTCAAGTTGTAGAAAATTGAAATATAAAAATTTAGGCTAAAGTAGCCAAGCTGTGACTATTCCTGGATAATTATCCACATTAGATGTTTTTGAACTTGTTACAATCTAAAGTTTAGCAAATAATTCCATATGTATTTGCCCTAATAAATTGGTGTTACAACTTTGCAACTAAGGGATATTAATACATTTAATGCCAGTCTAATTGCTTTACTTACAGAAGTACATACGGCCAGTAATACTTTTTTTTTTTTTTTCTCTCTTTCTTAAAAGTAGTATTTCATGTCACGCAATCAGTTCAGTAGTCACCCTTCAAAACCTGTTTAACCACATTGACCCAACATTTTACTGCTCTAGGATTTTTCTTTCTTTTGGGCTTCTCTGCTAATTACCATTATCTCTCACTTCTAATTACTATTATCATCTATCTCTGTTCAACCCAATGTCATATTCCTTAACTCCAATTTCATTTGATATTTTCTCACCAATCACTTGTGGAGTTTTTTTTTGTTTTTTTTAGGTGTATATTAGGTGTTTTATGAATCTGTGCTGCCCTAGGCATGATGGAACTCGGGCACCCCTAATTATCCCTCCGAAAGTGGAGACTATTGAGAGCTTTGCGCTTGGAATACATGTTTGTATTCCTAATGCTATATATAGTGTTCCTGTAAGTACAGCTTGCTTTTCTATGTAACTATCACTATTAACAAACCTAAATCCTAGAAAACCACATCCTGGAAAGAAATGTCCTTATCTTTTGTTAGATTTGCTAAACCTGAAATTTGACGCATACACTCTGACTGCCATTGTTCAGCAGTATATATTTAAGTTTGTACATAAGCTTGTAGTAATGTGCTTGAACAATCACAAGTATTCCTAATTGTAGGAATAAATCCCTGTTTTTACATGTTCCTCTTTCTCAACCCCCTATTTAGAATTATATATGAAGCATGAGTTTAAAGGGAATGTTCAAATGACATTATATATTGTAAATTATATCATATAAGTAGTGCTGAGTGATTCATTTGATCTGGTGCTTAGACTTAATTTTGATAAGAACATTCAGGGAGGACTGAAACAGTGCTCACAGCATGTTTTGCCCTCAGTGGGCTGGCTTAAATGATGGGCAGGCCATTTGCCAGGTTGCCCAGCCCCCTTTTGTGGAGGGTTTGCCCCCTATTGGGGTGGGGCTGGTGCCACCCCTTTTCCACAGAAATCTAATATTTTCAGTGCAGTTACTACTGCAAGCTATTCTGGGTGGGCATATGTAAAAGGGTTCAACAAATATCCATCTTTTGCCTTGATATTCCACTTAAAACATGTATTTTGTAAAGTTTATGTCTGCTGTATACAACAGCCAAATAACCACTCATGGACAGCTTTTCGTTGTTGATGCAACTTATCAGCATGAGGTTGGTTACTGGCTCTCTATTGAGGCTTGGCGTTGTTTATATGTTCAATCCCAAAAACTTTACACTTCAACTTTAATGTATTTGACATACCTCAGGGGTTGACAAATCTTAGGAGCCAGGTCACCATGTTGACTAAGAATTTTGTCCTGGCATCTGGATTTTTAAGCCCATTCCCTCCATCCCCGTGCAGTTCTCTTCGCGCCAGGAGGAAGTCAAGGGAACTGTAATTACTTCCTCCCGACGCTGAAGCTGTGCAGTTTTTTCTTTTAATTAGTCTACATTATTGTTGTTATTGCTGTTATTTTTAAAGAGCCTACATTTTGCATTCCTAATAAGTGTACTAACAACCAAGACTAGTAAGACAAGGAATAGAGGTTGTCCTACATACAGTATGTGCTCCTACAACATTACTCACCCGTCACCAGTCACGCGGCTTGAGCAGAATCGTAACGCTGTAACTGCACATTGGTTCCCTTCTCTCCGTGTTTTTTCATTGAGATATACCATACCGTGGATTGAAGGTGTGATGCTGCCTTAAAAGCATTAAAGCTTAATTACTGAGCCAGTTTTCATACACAGGCTCCTTTAAATGGGAGTTTTCCAACTTCACCGCCATCTGCACTATGTTGTATTTTTTTATTTCTTTTACATGTATTACAAACCAAAGTTTATTATCAATTCACGTGGGGTAAGTTTACCCCCTTATACATATTTTTACAGCGCTCCACTTACAGGTGTAGGTTTTTCACTTACACCACCTTATAGACTTTGGCCTTTTTTCGGTGTGGACAAGAAGGTATTTCCACACAAGTGTTTTGCGCTGCTGTAATTTATATTTATCTCTTATTTTAGCACCTTATTGGACACACATTCCTCCCAAAAGGAGGTATATTTCACTTGTTGCATCTTGGGGCAAAGCTGTCACCATAAACCCGGAAGAGCTGTAGAGGTGTGTTTCATAGTTAAAGGGACACTATAGTCACCAGAACAACTACAGCTTATTGAATTTGTTCTAGTGAGGCTTTTTGTTGTAAACAGTCTTTTCAGAGACAATCCAGTGTTTACATTACAGCCTAGTGATAACTTCACTGACCACTCCTCAGATGGCTGTTAGAGATCCTTCCTGGGTCATGGCTGCCTAAAATACATCCAAACATTCAGTGTCTTCTCCTTCTGCATGCAGACACTGAACTTTCCTCATAGAGATTCATGGATTCAATTCATCTCTGAGGAGATGCTGATTGGCCAGGGCTGTGTTTGAATCGTGCTGGCTCTGCCCCTGATCTGCCTCTTTGTCCGTCTCAGCCAATCCTATGGGGATAAAAGTATACATCAAATGGGATACAGCTGGATATCTAAAACAAAAACTAACAAATAGTGCAACACTGTTGGAGGAGGTTTGCAGTGCCCCCACTGTATATGGAACTCACAGACACTCCAGCCAATCACACCCCGGGACCGATGATATACCACCAATTTTAAAATATCTATTTTATTCAATGTATTTGTTATAAATCATTTTTTTACCTACCCGATTCCTGGTTTGGATCTAAAAGCACCATTCTGACTGAGAAACCAAACTTCCCCTGGGGGGAAGGCAACCTTGATGCGTTCTTTTCATCTGGAGTCTGTGAGTTCCATATACAGTGGGGGCACTGCAAACCTCCTCCAACAGTGTTGCACTATTATTTGTTATTTTTTGTTTTAAATAGCCAGCTGTATCCCATTTTCTGTATACTTTTATGTGTGAGGTCACCAGTGAGGTCAAATAGTTTTTTCCATATACTGTCCCTTTGGGGTGTATTGGACACGCTTTTGTGTTTTATAATCCTATGGGGAAGCATTGTGGGTGGATCAGGCTACCACTTCTGCTGATGTCAGCAGGCAGTGGGCAGGTCTAAAGGAAACAGGGAAAAAGTAAGCGGCTCCAGACTTGAATACAAGTAAGATTTTACTATATTTAGGGTGGCATGAGGGGACCAGGGTGGCTAGATGGAATACATGTTTTTTAATTTGTTTTAAATACATCTCATAATTTTTTCATACCTCCAATAAAATATTGAGCAAGTTGTATTGTTAAAGGGACATTAGTCACCAGAACAACTACAACTTATTGTAGTTGGTCTGGCGAATATAGTCAGTCCCTGCAGGCTTTTTGCAGTGAACACTGTCTTTTTAGAGAAAAGGCAGTGTTTACATTACAGTCCAGGTATACCTCCAGTGGCCACTACTCCAACAGCTACTACAGGTGCTACCTGGGGTAGTGCTGTACAGTGTCTCCACCCTTTGCATGAAGACACTGAACTTTCCTCATAGAGATGCATTGATCCAGTGCATCTCTATGTGGAGATGCTGATTGGCCAGGGCGGTGCTTGGCTCCTATCCCGGCTCGCTTCCTGTGCTAAGATCATCAGAATTGACAATCTTAGCCAATCCAATGCTTTCCTATAGAAAAGCATTGTGATTGTCTGAGGTCATCACTTCTGATGATGTCAGCCCCAGAGGCAGAGCCAGCACCAGCAAACAGGAATAAAGATGAGATTTTACCATATTTAGGGGGGCAAGGGGGAGGGGGGGGGGCAGGAGGGCTAGATAGTGTATTAAACACTACAGAGTCAGGAATTTATACAGATACAGTGCCTAGGGACACTCTAGGCACTGTATCTGCTTCATTTCATTAAACTGATTATAGTGTCCAGAGTTCCTAAGTTCCATAATTTCATTCAACATTAAACATTTTTTCATATTTTTATGTTTCAAATCTAAACTAGAGTCCTCAGCAGCCCCTCCCCTCTGTGCTGTTTCGGCGAATGAGGAAGTATTAGCATGAGCAGCAATGGGCAGCTATAATTGGCTAAAAGTGTCAGCTGTCGCTTTTTAGCCTATCAGAGCTCCAACTGACGGTATGAAGGGTATGACTACATGGAAGTGTATAATCTTTGCCTTGGCCACATCTCCAGAAGAGGCCAGACTGTGGGTGGCCTGGATCCCTTACTTAGTGTTAAAGAGCTCTAAAATGATTTAACATTTTATGGAGAGACAGTGCCAGGGGACTCCAGGCATCATAACCAATTCAAAGAGATGAAATGATTATAGTGAGTATAGTGTCCCTTTAAGTAATAAGTATTTTATGAATGTGTGGTTAATTTCCAATTTCATTCTAGATGTGAACATCAAGACATCTGGTACTGGACATGTAAATGTCAAACAAATAGAATGTGACAGCTGCCAGGTAGAAACTGAAAGAGGAAACAGCATTCTACAATCTATCAAGGTAATGTTATGTTAACAGCCTTTAAGCCTAAATGTGAACTGCCCCTTTTAGAATTGCATAATTTTAGACTGTATTTTTAAGATTGTGATTCTATTTATTTATAGGCTATAGTAACCTTGCACTAGCCACTATATCGTATTCTTAGAAGAAAACATTATGAAGAAAAAAAATAAGAAGAATGCACATAGTCTGGGAATAAAATTGGATGCACTTTTAAAGTGTCACTCTAAGCACCATCACAACATATCCAGACCTAAACTGGCTATTGGGGAGACTAAATTACACATGAATTAGATTTTTTATTTTTTATTTTACGCATGGTTTTCTCCCTAAATTAGAGGCAGTGCAACAATGGGGATATCTCCTTCTCTTGCAAAAAAAAATAGGCAAGCTGAACTGTAAACAACTTAAAAAGAATAGACCCCTTCTCATCCACCACCTTCTTACTATGTATCCAGCTGCCTGCCTGCCTTTGACAGGGTAGGCAGGTAGGACTCACGTTTTATTTTTACAGGCGTGGTGAGGTGGCCAGGGAAGGCTCCAATTGACTCTGAAGCAGCCACATGCGGGCCAGGTGCCTTTGTTCCACGCTCTTATTTCCGCCCAGTCTGTGCCGTGTTCCAGAAGTGCCGTTCGTGTGTGCATGCTCAATGCAATCTCTGCACTTTGGTACCAAATTCAAACAGGAAATCCTTATAAACTATTTAAACCAAGTCACAACTACCTGGCAGTCAAATGTTGTTCAGCTTTGTTGTAGCACTCACCAGCCTTCCAGCACACCCAGAGGCCTAACAAGGTAGGACTTTTTGCTTTTGTTTTAGGCCTGTTGTTCCCTGCGTAGTATAGCTTAGCTATTTTTATTTATTTATTTTTTTCTCTCTAGTATGTATAATCCTGAGAAACATGTGGAAAAAGGAAAGTCCAAACATCTTATTTGTGCATCCTGGAAAAAGTCTATGCCTGATGGTTATAAAAAGAAATTCTAAGAAAGCGTAGTATCTAAGAAAGCTGAGTTTTCTGTCTTGGTTCCAGTCCAGTCTCCAGCAAACGTTTTGTGAGATAAGGGAAGCAGCTCAGTTCTCTGCCACTTAATGGAATGCAAGACCCTCACAGAAAAATAAGGAAGGTAAACGGGAAAAGTTTTCCAACTCAGTCCAAATTCCTCAGGTAGTTCACCTTCTGAAGATTTGAATGCCTCATCTGATATGGATTTTGCCTTTTCTGATGCGTTCTTACATAAACTCATGTGACGGTAGTCCACATCACTTTGAACTTCAGAACTTATGTTTTAGTCACCCTGTGCCCATTATAGGTGCAGGGTGTGTGTAAAATATTTAGTGTTAAATATTTTGTCTGCTCTCCTGTACTGCTGAGGATTGCTACCAGCTAGATTTGGCTATGGTGCCTGTGTAGCGCCCTCTGTTGGCAGCAATTTGCACTACCTGAATAGCAAGGCTGGTTAGTTTGCATATTCAGGTAGATTTTCATATTGCTGTATCTGCAGGAAGGAGATGTTTTGTGTTTATTATTGTCTTCCACACCTATATAAATGTTATTAGGTTATTATAATTCCCTGTATGTTTTCTGATATATTTTGGTTATTTGTGTTTTACGTAAGTTTGTCACAGCAAGCTTTGTGTAAGGAACGTATGGCTAGTCCCAAGTAGAATAAAGTATTGCATTTTTTTTCCTTTTCGAACTTGTCCTGTGTGGCTACATGATCCCTCTAGCCCTGAGATAAATCAAGAGAGGTAGGCCTGGGAGTCGCAGTTGCTTTTGTAAAGGCAATACCTATAATCACTGTAAGATATAATCACCTGCCTGGAAGGAACGCTGCGGTGGAATAGGCAGATGGGACAATATCTGCCTGGAAGGAGAGCTGTAGCCTGGTCGGGTAGAAAAGTTCTAGAAGGACCCAGTCAAGCTGTGGTGACTGGGGCAGAAGCGCTTCAGGTGTCCCGGTTCCAGCTAGGGAGCGAGCTTGACGGAGGTACCCAGCTGGGGCACCGTGAGCTTCGTCACATTTGGTGGCAGCGGTGGGATGGTCCCTTTCCCTGGAACCGGAGTGGAGCCTGCAGCGATATGAGGGATTGGAGCGCTCAACCCTCAAGGACCTTTTGGAAGTACGAGGGAGACCAGCCAACAACAAGTCCAAAGCAGTACTGCGAGCGGAACTAATGGAGCTTGATAATGCAAGCTCATCTTCATCGACGCCCTCTTTATCTTCATCCAAGGAGGAGACTCGCCTGCGGGAGGTGAAAGCTTGACTAGCCCTAATGAGCCCCAACTCCTTGCCGGAGATCGTTTTTCAAGTTATTTCCAGCGTGGATGCAGCCATACAGGCAAGGTGGGCTCACAAGTTGAAGCAAGTGAAAGTACAGTGACCGGTACCTTGGCCGAGGTATCCTATCCAGCAGCACCAGAAAAACAGAAAATACCCTTTGCTGCTTTTAAAACATTTTACGTGACTGAAGAGGAGATTGAGCGACAGTGCAGCCTACATCAGGCACCCCTTTACAACTGGGTACCCATCTTAGCTGGCAAGCTATTCAGGAAAGCAGCAGAGGCGTTCTGGGCCGTACCCGACGAGGAAGCAGAGCTGCAGAGAAATGGGCAGAGGGGACAATACCTGCCTGGAAGGAGAGCTGCAGTTCCAGAAGGACCCCCGGCAAGTTGCGGCGACTGGAGCAGAAGCACTTCAGGATTACTGGTTCCAGCTAGGGAGCGAGCTTGGTAGAGGTACCCATCTGGTGTACAGAGAGCTACGTTACACCATTAAAGAAGTTTCTTTGTGTATGGATGATAATGTAGCTTCAAGCAAACTTAAGGTCATGCTTAGAAAGTGGAGATTTCCCTCCAACAATAAGAAATTATCTTATGAAGATCTTCTGAAAGTCAATGTACCTATTGTGCAGCTATGTAATAAGACCTTCCTGCCTATTGGAAACTCAAGTGGGTTGCAGGATGCCATGGGCAAGAGAGAGGTCTCTGCATCCAAACACTCCTTATGTGATATGCCATTCGAACAAGTGAAACAGTTTGTTTTTCAACTGGATGATCTTCTAAAACAAATGGCAGAAAAGAAAAAAGCACTTCCAGAAGAGAGAAATTATTTTTGTAACAAGAGATTCTTCAATAAAAGTAGATCCTCTTACAGAGCTTCATTTTGTAGGACCAATTCACACAGCACTTTGATTACGAGAACGAATACAAAGGCAAGTTTGTGTAAAAAAAAAAAAAAAAAAGGTGTAAGATGTGGCAGACTAGCTGGTACCCACCCCAACTAGGTACCTCCGCCAAACACGCTTCCTAGTTATGACCGGGACACCATAAGCAATTCTAGCCGCAGCTTGGCTGGGATCTCGCCGCCTCTTCCCACCCCGGATCTGAGTCCTGGATCCAGCTCCCAGTGGTTAGAGCTCTCCTCCAAAGAGTATAGCTGTATAGCAGTAAATTAGAGCATGTATAGCATTCCCCCCCCCCCCTCCCCCCCACACACACACACATTAGCCGAGACTTAGTGCTGGGAGTAGATCTGATTAATGCAGGCAAGCACTCACAATTTATACACACTTTTAAACCCCCAACAGCCTCATTTACATACAATAGGGTACATAGAGCACTATAGTACAAGGAAGGGTGGGGTCAGACAATAGCAAGGGCTGATGGGAGATTGTGGAGGGACAAAGCATCTAGTTTAAATGTGTCTGGCAGTGTTCCTGAGACAATGCCCTGTCAGGAATTGTACAAACTCAATAATCTCCAGGTACAGAAAAACATATAATTTCACAACACCCCAAAAGTACCCCCCAAAATCCATTGAAACACCACAAGGCACATCCCCGGATAGCCCTGATCTGAGTGACCATCATATCCAAAAATCAGATCGGTTCAGTGGTTCGGATTTTCCATAGAAGTCAACTTTTGACGACCGCACACATGGCTTCTGCCCAAAATAGTTCAATAAGAAAAGGGGTAGCAGTCAGTCAGTCAATTTCGAGAGTCCAAAACTGAACAAAATACCAAACCGATCTTCTGGCTCCTAAGTAGCGATTGTTCGACTAGTTCATGTGAACAATCCTACCTAATGTCACTCCCCTGATTCGCGAGTTAGTGTCTGATTTTACACCACTGCCTGCATTTGTGCAAACAAAATGGCTGCCAACTCAGTTCCCACGTGTTCGTGCATACGAACGGCGGCCACCCAGTCAAACACTTAGAATCCATGATGATTGAGGTGTCAGGAGAGGTCAGTAGGGGTTAACAAGCACAGAGGTGGTCCGCAGTTCGTGGGTTTGTCCGGTTCATGAACAATACAGGGAAACCACACAAACAGTCTTTTAACAGGTCTTTTACATGGCCCATAGTCCTTGGGCAGGAAGCTAGCCAGCAGGCTCCTCCAGGAGCTCATGGCAGAGACATCTATGCCACAGAAGACTACTATAGTATTTAGAAAAATGAAGCGATATAACCAACAAATGCATCCTTTTTGTTATAAGAAAAGGTTATCACATAGAATTCAAAAGACCTCCTCAAAGTGAGTTAATTTGTTCCAAGGTTCAATCTCCCATCACGTCAGAAAATCTCCATCTAGAAGTTCCAAATCTGGTCCAGAAAAGAGTTACAGTAGAACCTCAGTCTACTACTTTTCTTGGTCAAGAAACCAGATGGCTCATTCAGATCAATTTTAGATCTCAAAGTCAATCTCACATTACAAAGAATATCATCAAAGAAGCGGATTAGTTGAGTTATTTGGATCTAAATTATGTCTATCTGCATATTCTAGTTGCAAAGAAGTAGACCAATTTTAAGGTTTTGTGTTTCAGTAAAAGGTAAGCTTGTCCATTACCAGTTCAGAAGTCTCCCCTTTGGTCTTTCCTCAGCTCTACGAGTATTCAGAAACGTTCTAGTGGTTATAGCTGCAGCATTAGGAAATAGTGGTCTTCATATTGTCCCTTACCTAAGCGACTGGCTGTCGAAGGTACCCGGCAACAAAACCTCTTCAGGATATTCAAACCGCAGAATTGGTTCCCACAAGAAGAATTCAGTTTCTTTGACGAATAATAGATTCCTCTTTTGTGGAGATTTTTTTTCCAATGGAGAAAAAAAAGATAAGGGTGGTATTGTATTCTCTAATGAAAAAAGCAATCTTTACTATAAGAGAGGCAATGAATGTCCTGGGTATTTTTACAGCAGCCTTTGCATCAGTCAGCTGGGTGAAGGAAAGAATGAGACCATTACAGAGATATATCCTGGGAACACAGAGAAGAGCTCAGTCTTCCCTAGATAACCTTGTGAAAATTTGGCTGGACACAATAACCAGTTTCAGTTGGTTGGAACATTCAAAGTAACTTTTCAGATTTTTATTTTTATTTTTTTTCTTTCACGTTAATAGAAAACATCCTTGATACAAATGACGCTGCGGCAGTTGACTGGGGAGCATGCGTGGGAAACCTGTCTGCAAAAGACCAATGGACAACTCGAGACTCCAGAGAACTGAAATCAGTCTGGATGTCTCTTAAGTTTCAAACCCCTCCTTCTGCATTAACATGTTCAGAATTACTCAGCCAATGCAACTACAGTGGCCTACATCATCAAGCATGGAGGGACCAGTTCCTCTACTCTGGGAAAACCTGTGCGCAAAGATAATGTTGTGAGCAGAGATGCATATTCCATCTTTGATGGCAGTCCACATCAAAGGGAATGTCAACTTCCTGGCAGATGCTTTAAGCAGGAATTATATAAAACTGGGAAATGGGTCACTCACATCTCCCACACGTCTATGGAAGTAGTTCATCTATTCAGCGAACCAGAGAGAGACCGTATGGCTTCAAGAATCAACAACAAAGTCAAGAAATTTGCTTCATTCAATAGTTCATGCTATCGAGACTTCATAGATACCCTATTGATTCCTTGGGATTTTAGTCTGGCATATGTCTTTCCACCAATTCTGTTGATTCCAAGAATTCTACAGAAGATAATGCCAACACTTTTGCCTTGTCCGGGATTAATACCATTCTGGTCCAGGAGAAGTTTTTAAAAAAAACATTTTTTTCCACTCCTCATAAACCTATCCTACAGAACATTCTGGCACCTTCCCTTGTCAAAACACGTCTTGAAATATCGCCAAGTGGAACTACAGACACTGAAAAGCTTCAAGCTCACAGCATGGTGCCTGTACAGCAGGTTTTGAGTTCTAAAGGCTTAAGTTCGAAGTCATAAATACTCTGACATTTTTCACCTGGTGCTTGGCTGTTCAAGTAAATTCACTTATAGCTCCTTTTCCATATATCCTAAGGTTTTTACAACTTGAATATGCAAAAGGCCTACATCCAGCATGTCGCTAGCATTTTTTTATTCAATTGTTGGCTTTGAATTTTCTGGTGTATTCTAAAGGGCAGTCTCCAACTTTCTTCCTACGAATTGTGAACTAACCCCTCCTAGTAATCTAAATCTAGTGATGTGAGCCCTCTGCAAACCTCTATTTGAACCTTTTACAGGAGTATAAATTAAAAATGTTAACCTGGAAGATGGTGTATTCCTGATTACTATTACATCAGCTAAGCATCTATGGGAACTTCAAGCTCTTTCTGCTCATCCTCCTTATCTTACGTTCCATGTAGATAAGGAGGTGGTAAAGCCCAGGACATACTTGAAAACGAGAGAAATCTCAATGTATCTTTCCTGGTAAAATATTTTATAAATAAATAATAAATAAAAAGCTACACCCTTCCTTTCTTCCTCAGCTGGCCTCAGTGAACCACATTAATCAAGAAATAATCTTGCCTACTGTCAGCTGTTGTGTACTCACCTTGGTGGTCCGCCGGTCAAATGTTCCTATGATCCAGCGGACCGTCGCTCCCATGCTGCCTGCTGTCTCAGACAGCCTCCCGGACGCTGTAGGCCCGCCACCTTTTATGACACAGCGCACACAAGATGACGTCAAAACACTAGACTTCAACATACACTCCCATTTTAGGGTGGGCGCCAAACCATGCCCCCAAACATATAAAACCTACTTTTTCCAAAGGCACAGTGCCAGTGTTGTGGTTCCTAGTTTTACTAGTGTCCCAAGTGTCCGCGTTCTTTTGTCAGTTTTGTGTATTTTGGTATTGACCCGGCTTGCTCTCGACTACTGTTTTCTCCACTGACTCTTCTTTGTCTCTGGTAATTGTGTATTTCTGGCTTTCCTTGACCTTGGCTTGTTCTGACGTTTTTTGTCCTCTACCAGGGTCACAAAAGCGAATTAATGGCCTTCAAAGTATCCTTGACCAGGTGGATCAGAGAAGCTATATCCCTGGCTTACAAATAATTTGGATTGTCTCTTCCACTTCATATTAAAGCCTTGGAAGATACTGTAATTGGCTGCAAGGTGCTTCAAGCTGTTGTAAAGTGAAGTTTATCCTGCCTTAAAGATTACTTGTTCGTCCTTATAGTTGCACTGTCTCTAATCTGGAGGGAAAGACAGATTTTTTTTTATTTTTTTTAACCCGTAAATGTATTTTTCTTACAGATTTGACAGTGTACATCTAATTCCCTCCCGTGTTTAGTTTAATAAAATATTTTTTTTGCTTGAGTTTGGCTTGTGTACTTTCTGGGGGCCATAATGGTGCCTTTTATCGTAAGAAGGTAGAGGATGAAGAGGGGCTTAATCTTTAAGTTGTTTTTAGTCTGCCTGTCTATTTTAATGAAAGAGAAGGGGATATCCCCATTGTTGCGCTACTTCTAATCTTAAGGAATATTAAATTTACAGTAAGTAAAAATGTTGTAATTTCACATGTGGGCTGCAAGGGGTTTGTTAACTGAGCCACTACGCAGGGACTGACTTCTTGCTGTTATGCCATAACTGTTGTCTATAATCTTGAAGTGTTGGTGGAGTGGGGTTTAATTGTCATAAAATTATTATATATTTGAAATCTACAAAGCACTTGTAAAAAATAAATAACAGGGTGGGACCTGACTGCCTTGCTGTGTAAAGCTGTTCATTGGAGCTCCTCTGAACTTTACATAAATATCCTGATGTAAAGCTCCTAAATAGCTGATTTTCAGACCGAGGCAGAGTTGCTTGCCATGGTATTGGGCCATCAGAAACCCATGTACCACTCCCCTTTGGACCGGTGGAGACAATCCCGGTCTTCACCAACTTGCTGAAAGCCTTAATTGAGTACTTGGGCTTGAATCGTGCTGCTACCTTCTCCATGATGCAAAATGGCAGCACTACCTCGAAGAGCAGACCGGGAGAAACTGAGCAATTTGCAGTTGCCTCTGGCATACTGGAATAGGGAATATGCGACGCTGGACCCATGACTTGAAAGCGCCGGTGGGGTGAGACCCTAGTAGGGTTTGGTCCCTACTGATCAACCTTGCGGGGCTTCAAACTGATGCCTAACCCTATTGATAGAACTAACTGAAAGTTGGTTCTTCCCGTGTAGCTTGGGAGTTGACTGACCAGCCATGATGAAAACTAGTGTTCATGCCTGCATATTTCCAGCCAGAAGGCAGTATAAGGCTTAGTCAACCATTATTTGATAGCAACTTTTACCTTTTATGTGGTGAAATCTCTGAAGGTTAAATGTTATACATGCAGGAAATTGTTAATCACTTTATTTCAGTTGCAATCGGTGGTCAAATAATAGTTACTCAAATTTTGCTTATGATTAATGCTACTTTCTTTATTGCTGATTATATCAGTATTAAAGGGATACAAACATGTATTCCTGACACTTTAGTTCTAAATGCGTCATTAAGGTCACCGCCCCCCGCCCTTGACAATGTTAAAAAGGTGAAAAACTCTTCTTATTTCCACCTTATCATATCAATAAATAATATAAATTACAAAATAAATAACATTATATATATAATATATACATATTATGTTATGAATAGTGCAGATAACATTAAAACCTCTTTGTGTATTGTCAATGCAGCTAATAATTTTATTTAAAGTTAAGCGTACTATAAGTTGTCTTCCTACTTCTTAGAGATTTGCATTGCAGTGAGTTTGCTTTAATCTATCTGCCCCAAAATGCTTATTTTGCTTTAGTATTGTGACATTCCGTATTGCCCCTGAAAGCCGTATTTGTAGTTTTTACTTCTCTTCCAAAGACCGGTATAGACTGTGAATAAAATCTAAAAATAAAATTGGATTATCACCTTTTTTTTTCTATTCTATTTTGATTATGCTTTTATGCTCATTTTGCATGTTTTTTATTTTTTTAATATTAAAAAAAAAGGGAAAAAAACTAAATTTGGTCTCTCGTTGGGAAAACATGGTACATTTTTGAATTGTTTGAGAACATTAAATATGGTGCTTATTTAGCTACTTGTTTCATTGTAAATCTGTTTTTTTTTTACATTATTCATCACTAGTGTGTGTTACCATTGTAGGGTCACAACATCCACGTACATACTAAAGGAGGCAAAGTGATATGCCTGGGAACGGTTCATGGAAATGTGGATATTCAAGCTTCATCTCACAGTGTAAGCAAGAAAGGAAGATACCGTCACTTGAGGTCAATTGTAATTTTGCTTTCAGCTACTAAGTCTCCATTATCCAGGAAATGTTATTTGTAGCCTCTATATAATTATTGATTGTTTGGACTCGGCTTCAAAATTGAGTGTTCCAATTCTTCCTTTATTATAAAGGACTCCAGTTGACTCAAATTCAATAATAAAAGCATGTCAGGTTGCTCATTGGGCAGTGGGGGGGTAACCCCTAGAACTTAACATAAATTTAAAAAAAATAAAGGACCAAGGGGAGACTCAGAGGGTGAGACAGTTTAACCCTCAAGAGTCTGCCCTCTAATGTAAGAGGAGCAACCCCAAAAATAAGGTAGTATAGGTTAAAATATAACTTTTAATAGGTATATTAAAATCCAGTAATAACCAATCCTAATAGGTTCTAGCTTACATAAAAAACAGGGACCTGAGCATAAGTGTTGCATATGAAGAAAAGAGGAAAGCAGGGAAAAAGAAAGGGCAGGGTAAATGAATGTGACTGCAATCGGCAGGTAACGGGTTAACAGAGGGAGGTAAGGAATAGACCCTAACATGCCTTCGAGGGCACCCCTTAAAAAAATCTCCTAATAGATAGTAGTTTACCAAAACAGCTCCTAAATACCAAGTAGATAAATAAACCCTAATCCCACATGTCCACCTGCAACACAAAGTACAAAGAAATACAGTAAAAAAAAATATAATGATCAATCTGGTGTCAAAATCTTAGCGTGGTTGCTTTGTCCTAAGTAGAAGTAGTAGCTGCAACATCTACCCTAATAATATGCCTATCCACGACTAACAAAGTCCCAACGCGCTTTTCACCAAGTGCTGGTTCTTCCAGGGGAAACAAATCTGAAACTACCGGACGTTTAAATATCCCGCCCTTGGCAGGGATTGGGTGCTGATTGTAACCAATCCGTACAAGGGACTGGGATTGCGTCACTAAAATCTAAAAGACCTCTCAATTGCTGATAAATTAATGAAATGTAGCTAAAATAAAATAGTGAAATAAGTTATACTAACGCGATCTCCAAAAAGGATAGCGATCAAAAGAAAAAGAAAAAATGCCCGTGTATGTTTTCTAAATAACACAAGGTAGAGATTAGTCCCTCTGTCGGTAATAATTAGCTTATATGTGAATAGACCATTATGGGTATAAATAGACAATCAAAAATAAAAATGATGAAGAAAATAACGTAAATGAATGTCATATGAATATGATTGCAGTATAGGAGCATAAGGTGCTCCTTCAATATTGTATAATTATTGATATAGTCTGGAGGGTAGATCGAAAACCCAGAGAGCACAATAGTATGATAAACATATACATCCTGTCAAGAATCCTCATTGAATACATGGCCAAATAACACGGGTGTCTGGCAATAATGTATCAATGGGAAAGTTGTAGTGTCTCCATATAGTGGTTACAAAATTGCACGTAGTACCACCGAGCAAAGTGTGCTAACTATCAGTTATTTTACCATAGGGAGTCCGATTAGGGTAGTGTGAGGCAAATATCAAACTGTCATATTATGTAAATATATTTTAAAGCACTTAATTCCCACGTATTAAAACAATAAATTTAAGTTACTATAAGGTCTCCAATTAGCTAGGAACCAGGAACTGCACTAACTGAAGTAATAAACGCAAAAATTCGTCAGGTTAAATGGTCATAGTCCGGGGAATTAGTAGAAAAAATCCCAGATCGGGGGAAATGGGATGGGGAAGGACATAGGAGCCCCTAGTGGTTAAAAGAGAGTAATGCTAAGTGAAGAAAAGGGATACATGTGTATATTTCAGACCAGTACTGATTTACCAATATCCATAGTAAGGTAATTAGCTAGCCATCAAAAGTGCTTGTTGTTATTGAGCTGGTATCGTGCTGGGGTTCTATGTTATAATGTCAAGCAGAGGTTCTATAGTACTAGGAATAAAAATTAGATGAATAAATGAATAGATTTTCTTTGAATGGATGCTTTCCTCTTTTCTTCATATGCAACACTTATGCTCAGGTCCCTGTTTTTATGCAAGCTAACACCTATTAGGATTGGTTATTACTGGATTTTAATATACCTATTAAAAGTTATATTTTAACCTATACTGCCTTATTTTTTGGGTTGCTCCTCTTACACTAGAGGGCAGACTCTTTAGGGATAAACTGTCTCACCCTCTGAGTCTCCTTTATTATTTTTATTATTTTTTATTTTAACTCCAGTTGACTCTTTCAACTTTAGGCTTTGATTTAGTGGTTATGTTGCTTGGGGTAGTCCTTATAAATACATGAGATTATGAAATAATGAATTATCTGTTCACATTGACTTACCTGTATTAGGCCTTTATTTTTCTTCCCACAGCAACTGTCTAGGCCAACAACAAAAAATTCAATAAAATGTGAATTGTCAGGATAGTGAGCATGAATTTCAAAGTTTAGGCTAAAATAACTGAATTGAAAACACAGCTGATCAGGAGAATTTTTCCACTTTAAAATTTTGGCATATGGACTGATCGCATTTGACAGGTCTAAAATTGTGAGAGGGAACAGGAGGGTAGGTCCAACTTTGTTTTCCTGGCACTATAGTTTCCCTTTAATTTCATGTGACATATACATAGATAAATTCTCATTTATAATGGGGAAAAAAACTAAACTATTTTATAAAATGTCTTTGTCAATAAGAATTAATGTACATAATTAGTGCAGCTTAAGAATAGCAATACAACAATTTATATAGTTGTCATGATTTACAGAGTATATTATAAGTCTAAGATTTTGGTTTATTTTTGGTAGTTACAGCAGGGATGTGTCTACCGCGAGGCAAACAAGGCATTTGCCTTGGGCAGCAATTTCCAGGGGGCGGAACAAAACACTGCTCCCAAATTCTCAGGCAGATACCTTGTTTGTTTTTATGGGAGCCCAAGTGCTGGCCGGCTGGCCACCTTTGGGCTCCCCCGAGGCAGACGGGCGGTTGTTTCCTGGACGGGCATTTCCCGGAAGGGCAGCCACACTAAGCTGTCAGCAAGGGAGCACTTTCCTCTGAGCTCTCTCTGCTCAGCTCCCTTGTGCCACCCACAGTAATGCTGGGAGCTGGAATATGACGTCATATTCCGGCTCCCGGCATCACTCTGCGGCGCGCGAGAGAGCTGAGCAGAGAGAGCCCAGGGGAAAGTGCTCCCTCGCTGACGGCTTAGTGTGGCTGCACGCCCGCCCGGGAAACAACCGCCCGCCTGCACATCCGGCCGCCTCCCTGCCCAGCAGCCCCACTGGACCCCAGGTGAAAAATCCACCCAGCTATCCCAAAAGTAGGGAGGCTGGGTGGATATCAATTTAAAAAAAAAAATAATAATAATAATTGTGAGTGGGGGAAGTGTGTGTGTGTGTGTTTCGGTCAGTCAGTGTGTATGTGTTGGTCAGTCAGTGCGTGCGTTTGTCAGTGTGTGTCCGAGTAATAGTGTATGTCTGTCTATCAGTGTCAAATTAGTGAGTGTATGTCATTGTTTGATAGTGTAAATGAGAGTGTGTGTCTGTCAGTGAGTGTATGCATTTATCAGTGAGAGTGTGCGTCTGTAAGTGAGTGAGCGCCTGTCAGTCAAAGTGTGGCCTTGACAGGAAGGGGTGGGGAAAATTTAAATTAGGGCGGTGCCCGAGCACCATCCTGCCTAGGGCAGCACAAATCCTAAATACACCACTGAGTTACAGGTCACAAAATACAAGGAGTAAAATAAAATATACATTTGGGGTGATTTTAGAATTTATATGTTTTGTCTTTTTAAGCGTAATAGCTGTCACAGAGAACTAATTGCTACACAAATATATATATATATATATTTATATAAGGCAGACATCACAGGCTATTTACAAAAGGGTATTCTGACACTTTGTACGTAGGCATTTAACAGACAAACTGCTAAATATTGTTGTTTCTGATTTTTAACATACCTTTTTTGTGTGTGTGTGTGTGTGTGTGTGTGTATTTTTTAAACCTGGTCAGTACTACTTCTGTAGTAAACACCATGTTGTGTTCATCTATACCGTCTGAGTACAACTATACCCCCAATGACTAACTTTGGCACTATCCTGTGATGTTACAGTGCCTTATAAGAGACCTGACCATTTCAGTTTTTACAATTAGAACTTGGGAGATCGATTTGATTGGCTTATGGAATAGACACTCCTGGGTATCTTATATGGTGTATATAGTGGATATATATATTTTTTTTAATTACATTTTTGCTGCCCATTTTTCAATTCTGATATGTGTCATTGTGATCAAACTCTCCAAATTACGCTCATAAAACAATTTAAAAAAATAAATCTTTATTTTTGTTGTGCACGAAATTTACAATGGTTCTTGTATCTCCACAACAGCAGTTACAAGCGCGTCAAAGCACATAACATTACAAGTAGCATAAAATACACAGATGCTGTCTAAAATATTACGTCTTGTGGCAATATGTTGGCACAACACTTTTTTGTAATTAAGGGAAACTAAGTCTTGGCATGACAATTCCTATCAGGCTTTCAGATTTATGGGAACCAAGGTTTATATCAAACATTTTGCCTGTGAGGCAGCTATAACATGGCAGGCTGAATTTAAGATTAGGTAAATTCAGGCTAGACCGGCATGACACTTGCAAGTAAATGAAAACACCTAGACATAGGGATAAGATTGTAATGCTGCATAACATGTTAAACTGGCAAGTAGTTGTTACCCAGCTACTCATCTAGAATGAAGCATAGGCTAGGGTACATTATAGGTTGCTCAGGGATTGATTAAAATGTAAACTGAAATTTGTATAACATAGTACCCCATGTGCATCCAAGCTTTTTTATGTGGTTAACCCTACCCCTACGCTCGTCATTAGAGTCCCACAGCTTGACCAAGTCCCATCTATTTGCTGTTTGCCACGCCGCTGTCCCCAGGCCTCCAACAGACCCGAAGTGTGTTTCCCACTGCTCTGGTTAAACCAGGTACTGTAGGCAATGACCCGCCTCTCCGGGGGTGTGGGACAGGCACCGGGGTTATTCCCCTCAAGGCCCCCAGGCCTGAGAGTGCAGCAGCATGTGCCTGACAGCCCGAGATGAAGTTTTGCAGTGGGTGGTCTGGACATCCTCCCCTGGGATTTCTCATGCCTGTGCGTGTGGGCTTTTCTCACGGATCTATGCCTCGCATGAGGACGGTCATCTGCTGAGGTGCTCTGACTCTGCGGCCCAAACGAACGTGGTATGGAAAGCAGGCTCTCATTGTCGGTCCGCGGTGCTTGCTTCGTTGTATCCCACAGCTTGTAGGGCTGTCGGCGGCCATCCTCCCCTAGTCAACACCGCTTTTGGAGTGTGTAACACCCGCTATCGAGGGCACCAGTTCGTACTGCGGACAGGTGCTTCCGCCTGTCGAGCAGGGTGTTTGCTCTGTTAGGTGTAAAGCACAACCCGATGTCAGAAGTGAGTTCATTGCTTGTACCAGGAAATCCCTCACCGGCAAGGGGTGTGTACCAGGTGATCAGTGGTTGTTGCAGGCTCCGGTTTGAGGGAACAGTAGGCACAGAGATCGGCCGCCTCTCTTGCGCCCACGCCGCCACCACCACCTGGGCCGCAAAGTAGTCCAGCCGCCACAACTGACTCTCTACTTTCTGTGGTTCCTAGTTTTGTGCTCCCATGGGAGCGCTGAGGCTTTTGGCAAGTGATAAGCCCGGGCAGCTCCCCAGATTTACATGATTAAAGGCTTAAAGTCCGGGTTGATGGTGGTCAGGCTCCGCCCCTGCTCATGAAACTTCTATGAATAAATCAATGACCCCAATGTATGTCTTTGTCACTATCTTGAGAAGCTACTGTGCCATATAAGAGTCGTGGCCATTTCATGTTTTACAGTTCGTTTTAATAAATGAATTTGATGGGTCTATATCTAATTTTGAGGCATTATAGCAGTTTGACAGTTAAAATTGCCTCATAAATGCATACCAATTGTGAAAGTAGGCGGAGTCTGTCTTATGGTGTATTTTGAACGTTATTATACAGTAATTTTATCACCAATTTCTTTCAAATTTTATTGTTGCATTTTTATATACACACTTTAGCAGTTTGTTTTTGTAACTCGACATATTCTAGTGTAATAAAATCATTAAATTATGCTCGGCTGTATTTCCTGAGCACAGGTACTGAGATTATACCCTGCCAGTACGTTGTTGTTGTTGTTGTTGTTGTTGTTTTTTGTTTGTTTTTTTTTGAGGAGAAAAAAAGTGTAATTGAAAATGGATCTTTGGGGCATTTTAACACATAATTACTTCATAAATGCATGTCTTTTGTAAAAGTGGACACCGTTGGGACTCTCACATAATCTATTTTGAGCTTTATTGAGGTGCAACATCTCCTGAATACAACACTATCCAATATGTATGTCTTTTGAAGGTAATAATCTCAATCTAAATCCCTAATTTTAAACCAAGCCCGAATTGTATATCAATTCCTAATCCCAAATCTAACCCTAATGATGTGTGTAATTTCCCTTATGTTACCTGAGAAGGAGGAAAAAACTACAACCAAACCCCCGCCCCACAGCTTTACAACAAAACGCAGGTATGGCAGCCTCTAGTAGCGCAAAAACAGAAGAGCATCACAATGAATGACTCATATTCAATAATACATAGCAGGCATAAAATGAGTTCCACAGCAGTAGGTCATTCTAATCACAAATAACCTTCAAGGAGGTATCAATGGAAGGGAAGCCTTGCAGAGGAGCCATCCAGTATAGATCAGCCAGCCCAAGGTCACAGCCAAAGAGACGTCCGCTTTCAAGGGTCAGCGAAGCCAACTCTGGTGGTGCAGATCCAATTAAACCCTGCATCTGGCACACTCAGTGTGTAGAGGACCTGTGGGAAAGAAGATATAAATAAAACTCTAACCCCCTGCCCCCGCCTCATCCCTCATCTTATTTCCCTCCCCCCAACCTTGTCCTTATTGCTACGAAAATATATATAGAAGTGAATGATTCCCTTTCAATAATACATGGTATTATTATATTATCAAACAGATGTGAAATGGTTTGTATATTAGTGTGTCCTACCATGGTAATTTTAATTAAAAAAGGAGTCATTTTCATAAACACTGGTGGTACCATTCTCTTGGCCCAGTATATGTATGGGAAGTAGAGACTGGAGTATTTCAGAAATATTTCCTCCTGAAGGACTCAGATTAATGGGTTTAGCCTGCGCTTCAAATTGTCTAAATTATTAATTATTTTTTTTTTTTTTATATAGCGCCAGCAAATTAATTTATCCATGTAATGAGTTGGGACAGGAATGTACCTTGTGCCATTGAAGTATCTCATAGGTCTTTCACTACAGTCTGCTGTTCCATAAGTATTTAGGGATAATTTATCACTGACTATTGCCATTGCCATGACAATCTGAATAGCTAAGCGGCCATTTACTTTGGCTGCAGGACATGTTCCCCAGGTCCAAATAATTTGGTGTGTCCAGGATGCTAATTGCACCATGGATGATATACCTGCCTCCTAAGTAGTGTTTCATGCCAGCTCTCATGCATGTCAAAATGACAGGCGGTCTAGCAGGTCTGTCCATACACTGTGCTCTCCTATAGCATTTGAGTACATGTTTACATGCTCAAAAATTTAATCTAAGCAGTGCACTTTCATTTAGTCTACCTCACACTGGGTAACTGTACAGTAATGGTTTGAGGAACATTGTGAAGATTTCAAGGTGTCGCCTTGCCCTCCAAATTCTACAGATCTCAGTCTGACTTAGCATTTTTTGTATGTGCTGAAACAACAAATTCGATCCATGGAGGCCCAACCTCGCAACTTGTAGGATTTAAAGGATCTGCTGCTAATGTCTTGGTGCCAGATACCACAGGACACGCTCAGAGATCTTATGGAGTCCATGCATCACAGATATTGTGGCAGCACGAAGGGGACCTACACAATATTAGGCAGGTGGTTTAAACCCCTTAAGGACGCATGACGGAAAATTTCCATCATGCAGCATTTTACCAGCAGGGTCTATTACCTTGCTGGTAACTATGAGCCCCATGTATCATTTGATTCCTGGGGCTACCCTCTCTCACCTGGGGCCAGAATTAGTGGCCCCAGACTGACCGTTGCTCTGTTTGCAGAGCTCAAAGTGAGCGCTGCAAAAAAGCATTTAAATGGGGATTTAAATCCCCACTATTACAATTTGGTGTGATCAGGGTTAAATCCCTGCTCACAGGGGAGTTCCAGGTATCAATGGAAACCTCTATCAGCTGGCTGGGGACGTTTTTAGTGACCCCAGCCTTTTTGATGAGCTACATGTAGTGCTGGAAGTCAGCGCGGCATGTATCTGCTTAAATAGGCATTTAAATGCCTATATCTAGATTGTGGTGTAAGCAGGGTTAAATCCCTGCTCACACCAGGAAACCCATGTATCATTAGAAACTGGGGTCTCCCCTCTGTCAGCTGGGGTCATTTTTAATCTCCCCAGACTGACAGCTGAGCTGCATGCAGAGCTCAAAGTGAGATCGGCATGCAGCTGTTTAAATGGGGATTCAAATCCCCATAGAGCACAATGCAGTGTGAGCAGGGTTAAATCACTGCTTACAATAGGAAACCCAGGTATCATTAGAAACCTGGGGGTCCCCTCTGTCAGCTGGGGCCATTTTTACTGGCCCAAGACAGACAGCTGAGCTGCATGCAGAGCTCAAAGTGAGATCGGAATGCAGCTGTTTAAATGGGGATTTAAATCCCCACAGACAGCAATGCAGTGTGAGCAGGGTTAAATCCCTGCTCACACTAGGAACCCAGGTATCATTAGAAACCTCTGTCAGCTGGGGTCATTTTTAGTGGCCCAAGGTTTTTTGATGAGCTACATGTAGAGCTCAAAGTGAGGTCGGCAAGCAGCTCTTTTAATGGGGATTTAAATCCCCATAGACCGCAATGTAGTGTGAGCAGGGTTAAATCTCTGCTCACACCAGGAAACCTAGGTATCAATAGATAGCTGGGGCTTCCCTCTGTCAGTAATATCAGTACTGATATTAGAAGTGGAAACTTTTGGGATTAAGATTACAATTAAGGATTATTATTTGGTTTAGAATACGTACTAGATTTATTATTAAGTTTATGTTTAAGACTAGGTTTATAATTAATTGTAGTATTGGGATTATGTTTCAGATTATGGTTCAGATTAGGATTAGGGTCAGCACGGGCATCCCTTGCTGAATATAGCAAGGGAATTCCTCTGCTGACACCAGCAGGGGGAATCATTTTAACACTATTGAGATTAGGATTAAGGTTATAATTAGGGTTACACATGGGATTACTTTATGGGTTAGGATTGTGGTAAGGGTTTATTATTAGATTAAGGGTTAGATTTGGGATTAGGATTTGGTTTAGAATTAGGGCTTGGTTTAGGATTACGGATTTAGATTGGGATTAAGATCGCTACTTTCCAAAGATATACATATGGGGTATATTTGTACTGAGAAGATGTTGCTGAGTACAGCTAAGATAATTTTATCACAGTGGGACACACAAGATTTAAAAAATAAGCATAAAAAATACTATGTCTATGTAAAAATGCAAAAATAAAAATGAATACCACAAACTTTGAAACAAAATGTCACTTCAGTAAAGCTTTTAATATTTTATGTGAGAGTCCCCATGGTGTCCACTTCTGTAAATGGTATGCATTGGTGGCGTAATTTAAATATATAAGCGACTAAAATGCCCCAAAATGAAACAATGACCCAGGTATGATTTTAGCTCTGTATTTTTTTCACAAAAACCTGGCTAAGGTGTACAAAGGGGGTCATTTTGTACTCAGGAAATATAGCTGAGAATAATTTAGTGATTTAATTTACAGTAACGTATATCAAGTTTCCAAAATGAACCACTAAAATACAACATGTGTGTATAAAAATGCAAAAATAAAACAATATGATAAAATTTGAAAGAAATTGGTGCTAACATAACTGTATAATAAAGCTCAAAATATACCATATGACCTAGCCCGTGGTGTCTACTTTCACAAATGGTATGCATTTATGGGGTAATTTTAACTGTCAAACTGCTACAATGCCCTAAAATGTGATATAGACACATCAAATCCATTTATCAAGATTCTAATTGTAAAAACTGTAATGTCAGGACTCTTTTAAGGCACTGTAGCTTCACAGGATAGTGGCAACGACATACATTGGGGGTATAGTGTTATTCAGAAGAGTTTGCTGAGCAAAATTATGGGGTTTTGATCACAGTGGCACATACCAGACTTGAAAAATTACCCCAAAAATATAACGTGTATGTAAAAAATGCAAAAATTATTTTACCACAAAGTTTGACATAAACTTGTGAAAAAATGTCATCACGTTAAGGCACAATATACACCATATGAGATACACTGTGGTGTCTACTTTCAACAATGGTAGGTCCTTGGGGGATAAATTCAACAGTTAAACTGCTACAATGCCCCAAAATGAGACTTGCACCCATCAAATTCATCTATCAAAATGATCACTGTGAAAACTGTCAAAAAAATGCCATGAGAGCCCAGGTGGAATAAAGAAAGAAAAAGTGGAAACTCAATTCAGAGTAATAGCATCGGCTAATATCCGCTCGCGTTTCGGTGTTTCAGTACGCCTTTGTCAAGAGCTGCCTTTTAGAGGCTTATATTACTTACTCACCTGAACCTTACATTTAGTAATGTGACTTTTTAGGACTAGCCTGCCCAGGTTTTTATAGGTGTTGGTGTTCACTTTACCACTGTTTATACACATTTGTTTGGTGTATATAGTACAATTATTATTACTATGTTTTTAGCATTTTTCTAATAAAGGTTTTTTACCCTATCTATGTGACTCTTTATATTAGGAGGTATTACTGAATGGGTTGGATGTTCCACCTACTTTTTGTGAGTGGATTCTCTACCCAATTTTCTCTGTTCTCATTATTGTAATTTTCTGGGGTTAAGCCCCTTATACCTCCTGTAACCTCTGGGGCAGTGGTGGTGGTTTATTCCACTCCACAACCCCTTCTCTCTTTTTTCCTGTGCTTTATATAAATATATACTTTTGTGCAGCAATTTTGCTTTCTGTGATGGCTATTAAGCTTACAAGACAAACATACCAAAGTCTAAAATAGCTCCACATTAAAATTTTATTTTTCTCCTTGTATTTTGTGACCTGTAACTTGCAAAATAAGCTGAAATCCTAGACATATTATGTGCTCTGTAAATCAGAACAACTAATTGAATATTTTTTAAATTATTTCCTTAAGCTGCACTTATTAAACACACGTTATTATTGCCTAAACTGTGAAAAAAAACAATTTTAACATTTTTTTTTTTTTTTTGCATTTTGGATTTTTTTTTTTATAATAAAAATTTATATATGTATATGTCACATGAGATTAAAGCACTTTCTGTCCTTCAAAACACAATATATAACATGTGTTGGTGCAATAAATAAGAAAAATGCAAACTGAGGTTGAACACAAACAGCAAAAAATGCAAAAAAAGCTTGTGTCTTTAAGGGTAAGTCCAGTTTTTGAAGCTGCGTCCTTAAGGGGTTAATGTTGCGGCTGATCAGTGTTTTCTAAATAAGCCTGATGGTAAGGACCTGCTTCTCCCCCCCTCCCCCCAAAGTATGTTCAAATGATGTAGGACAAAAAGTGCAAAAACTACCCTAAAACCCAGAATCACATGGCTGGTATCTGACCAAATGCTTGTATGCTCCCTAGGTGCAGAGGAAAAATGTTTTTTTCTCTGGTTAAATGTGTAGTCCCATCAACAAGACTGTGAGGAATCTGTCCAACATACTTGTTTGAATGTCTGTGACAAAAAAAAAAAAAAGTTTGACAGGCACCAGGAACTTTTTTTTCATAAGGTTGCATCCCCTAAACTAGAAAATGAATCTTTAAAACTGCTTGCTCATTAAGTACACATATGCAATATTACAATATCCCCACATGATGGAGCATTTACAACATTTTATATCTAAATTGTTTTATTGCACTGTGATGATTGCAGGATGCTGGGGAGAGAGAGAGAAAACATAACTGTAAAGAAAAAGGGAGAGCATGGGTTATTGTGGTTAGGGATGGACGAGGGAAGACTGCGGAAAGGCAAGGATAGAAAGAGACAGCATAGCTGACAGGAGACTGTTAAAGGAATACCACATTTAACATACAATTTAACAACACAAATATCTGAAAGGTCTGCTTATAATCCTTCTGCCTTCTAAAAGTGCTATTGTCTTAAAGGACCACTATAGTGCCAGGAAAACATACTCGTTTTCCTGGCACTAAAGTGCCCTGAGGGTGCCCCCACCCTCAGGGACCCCCTCCCACCGGGCTCTGGGGAGAGGAAATGGATTAAAACTTACCTTTCTCCAGCGCCAGGCGGGGAGCTCTCCACCTCCGACCCTCCTCCTCTCCTCCCTTTCAGCTGAATGCACACTTTCCTATGGATGCTTGCGTGTTCTCACTGTGATTTTCACAGTGAGAATCACGCAAGCGCCTCTAGCGGCTGTCAATGAGACAGCCACTAGAGGATTTGAGGGCTGGATTAACCCATTTATAAACATAGCCGTTTCTATGAATATAAATATATACTTTTGTGCAGCAATTTTGCTTTCTATGAAACTGCTATGTTTATAAAACAATGGGTTAACCCTAGTTGGACCTGGCACCCAGACCACTTCATTAAGCTGAAGTGGTCTGGGTGCCTAGAGTGGTCCTTTAAGGTGTTTTTGTTTTCAGACGAAAGCACCAATCCACGTCCCATGTGCATTGACTGTTCATGGGACAGAAAATAATGTTTTACTGTAAGAATGAAATGGGTTTACTGTTAATTTCCTGGCTATAAAATATAGAAATCTTGATAAGGTTTCAGAAAAAAACCTCAACTGAGCGTTTCCTTTTGTAATTGTATGCCCCTTGCACTGGAAAATCTAAGAATGGGGTTAATCTATAAGGTGAATGCTTTTTACAAGTCTCCACTTCATTGTCAGATGTATACTTTTTTTTTTAAAATGTAATTAATGTTGAAATTAAGGGTATCATGCTACTTAATAAACACATTTATTAAATTCTTTTAATAGAAAAAAAATATATATAAAATTCAGAATATTTCACACACCTAAGTAACTAAACATTCACACAAACATACAGTACTTGCCAGCATACATGACTGGCCACTGCCACAAACACACGCGTGTGTATAGTGTGTGTGTGTGTGTATATGTTGTGTGTGTGTGTGTGTGTGTGTATGTGTATATATATATATATATATATATATATATATATATATATATATATATATATATATATATATATATATATGATATAATATATATTATATTTTATAATATTCTCCTCCTTACCACATGTATAGGAGATGTATAGCACCAAAGTTTGCTATGTCTGGTCTCTAGTGGTGGATGAGGGAAAAGCGAGGGAAGGTCTTGGAACCTCTTCCTGCAGAAGTGTTGCTACCTATTGGCAGAGCTTACTAAAATACCCCTAGGCCTAACAGCAATATGATTGGAAATTTGGCTGAATGTTAACCTATGACTGCCCAGTACCTGTAATGCAGTTATGGGTTTGGAGTGGGCACTAGGTAAGTCCGAGGTGAAGGTTTGCTAGCATGGGTAAGGTAAGGAATCTGCTTAAATAAAAAAAATAAAAAAACACTGATGAAAAGATGCACTGAGATCCTGCAAACACCATCACCCAGTAGCCAACAACCAACACTTACCCATACATATAAGGTGCGCTGTGCCTTAAAAAAATATAATCAGTGTTTATGATTTGCACAATATAAAATACTATCAAACAGCAATACTTAATGTGTTTTAAATATATTAAACATAAATTGTACACTGTTACTTTAAAGGACCACGCTAGGCACCCAGACCACTTCAGCTTAATGAAGTGGTCTGGGTGCCAGGTCCAGATAGGGTTAACCCATTTTTTCATAAACATAGCAGTTTCAGAGAAACTGCTGTGTTTATGAATGGGTTAAGCCTTCCCCTATTTCCTCTAGAAAGTATTTTCACAGTGAGAGCACGCCAGCGTCCATAGGCAAGCATTATGAATGCTTTCCTATGTGACCGGCTGAATGCGCGCGCAGCCAGCCCAGGAGGAGGAGAGAAGGAGGATTGGAGGAGGAGAGCTCCCCGCCCAGCGCTGGAAAAAGGTAAGATTAAACCCCTTTCCCCTTTCCAGAGCCGGGCGGGAGGGGGTCCCTGAGGGTGGGGGCACCCTCAGGGCACTATAGTGCCAGGAAAACGAGTATGTTTTCCTGGCACTATAGTGGTCCTTTAAGACACAATATAAGTGTTTGTGTGCATACCAACAATAGTAGACTTGTGGACTTGATATCTGGTGGAATGTGTGGTGGAGAATAGGCTCTAGGTCCAGTTTAGTACTGTGATTGGGTGGAATAAGGAGTTTGGTTTTCATTGCTGCCCATCAGTTGTTTGGTGAATCTGGATATGACACCCATATTTACAAGAGTGCTATTACACTATATATTTTTCTCTTTCTATCCAATTAAATGTGATTATGTGGAGCCATCATTAATCAAAATATATAAAATACAGTGTAGGAATAAAGTGCTATTAATACAGTGTGTGTAAGTACTATCACCAGTGCTTAGTCACTTTAAATAAACACATTTAAACAGTAAAACAAATAACACAATAGGTGACCGCGAACATCACACCGTGGATACTACCACTTTAAAATCTTGAGAGTAGTAGGTAATTCCACTTACAGTCTCTAATATAAGCATAAAACATAGCCAATGGTATGGTATTTACAGTTAAAATATGTAATGGATAAAACCAAATCGGCCAAACTCACATTACTGAGCCTATTGATTAGCAGGCTCAGACTGTCTGCGTTCTTTACAGATATTTAGATTAACCTCTGGATCTCTGCTCCCAGCAAAAGGTTTTCTCCAAATCCTTTTCGACTAATGTTGTAATTTTGGTCCAGACAGGGTCAAGTTTAAAACTTTAAAGATCCCAAAGCTACTATACATACAGCACGTGTCAGAAACTGAAAGACGCCACCCTGCCCAAGAAGCGGCTTTTAATTGTCTCTGGAGCATATCGTTACCCTACTACAAAAAAGTGTCAGTTTTTAGTTTGGTGCGGCCACAAACGATTATGTTGTCTTAAAATCACCGTGCACTTTATATGTCTAATATTTAAAATCACTTTGTTTTTAGTGTTGCGCGTATTTTATATTGTGTTAATCACAAACCGTGAATATTATGGTTTTAAAAGCACAGCGAATTTTATATCTATGGTATTTGTTTTAGGGTGTTTTTAAGATATTGCACTTAAAGGCACACTCCAGGCACCCAGACCACTTCTGCCCATTGGAGTGGTCTGGGTGCCAACTCCCACCATCCTTAACCCTGCAAGTTTAATTATTGCAGTTTTTATAAACTGCAATAATTACCTTGCAGGGTTAACTCCTCCTCTAGTGGCTGTTTATCAGACAGCCACTAGAGGGACTTCCGGGTTCTTAAAACCGAAAAGTGTTTTAAACGACGCTGGATGTCCTCACGCTATGCATGAGAACCCACAGCGTGGCTGGAATCCCCATAGGAAAGCATTGAATAATGCTTTCTTATGGGGAGGTCTTATGCGCGCATGTGGCCATTGCCGCGCATGCGCATTGTCTCCCCATGCCGGCTGACGTCGGCAAGGGAGGAGCGTGGGAGGAGCCTGACCCAGCGCCGAGAGACCTCGGCAATGGATTCAGGTAAATGACTGATGGGGTTTCAATCCCTTCAGCAACATGAGATGGGGGTGGGAGCGAGAGGGGCACTGCAGGAATCTGCTGTGCCAGGAAAACGGATATGTTTTCCTGGCACTGGAGAGTCCCTTTAATACTGTTGCTGCTAAAAATATATCTGTTGTTTTCTGTTTATGAAAAAGTTAGTTAAAATATTATTTAGCATTTACTTTATTGATATACAGTATTATTGTTTTAGAACAAACACTTGTCAAATCAACTTATTGATGTTTCTCCTGTTATGCAAGCATAAGTCTAACCTTTAGTTATCAGTGTGCATGAATATGTGTATCGTGTTGCTGGGATTTAATCAGTGTCCTGAAGTAGTCATTATGTGCAGCTATTCAATTTGAAATACTGCACATACTGAGATATTTAATGTTGCTGCTGGAGGTGTTTTCTTCCTTTGGTAGCTTTCACCAGCCAACCTGGAATGAGAGTTCTTGTGCTTATTCTATGCCCAGAATTTGATTCATTGGCCGTGAGCGCTCAGGTGAAAAACTCAGCTAATGATTGGATGTCATTTTGCTGTTATTTACTGCAGCTCCACAACCAACAAGACCCACGGTGGTGGCAAACCATGTTGGTTATAGACACATGCTGGTCTAGTCACATTCCAGTTTTTTAAGCTAGGCTAGGTCATATGTTGCACAGTAAGCTTGGCGAAGTCTCTGCGCATTTTGAGACAGCCAGTAGATGACTGGATATTGAGTTGTCTTTTCCGATGTAGTATAAAAACCCAAATGGTAGGTTTGCTAATATAATGGATCATCGAATGCCGTAGGATTACGGTATTTGTTTTTATTGAGGAAGCAGATTATATTTCTTTGTTTACCCAAGTGGTTAATTTCAAGCACAGTTTGAGTATTGTGCTTGAGGTTATATTTCCTTTTTTTTTAAAAAATTTTTTATTTGACAGCGTTTATTAGCGTTTGAACTTTTTTATTTTTCCACATATGGTCACAATGAACTGGTTTGCTGAGGAGTGACTCTTCTGTCTGTGTTTGGTATTCCTTGTCTCTTACAATGTGCCAAGCCCACAGCACACAGACTTTGAATAAAAATGGACCATTAACAGGATAGTGATGAACACTAAAAGTGGCTGCAGGCGCTTTGCAGTTTGCTTAACTTTTAACCCTCCTCTTAAGTGATGATGTTTCACTGATCAAAGCGTTTGCCTAAACTGTGCGGTTAGAGTGTAAAACGCATGGAAAAGAAAATTGAGGAGATTTCATGAAGAATTAAACGAATTAAACTAAAGCATTCTGCCAAGACTGTCCTCCTAATTGCGTCCTGTTATTAATAGTTTTGAGTTTGTGCTACAGGGCTAAAAATAGCAATTAGGATGGAAAATAATTTTCCCACTGGCACGGCCTGGTTGTAAGAATGTTTTGACATACAAAATAAAGTCCAGTCTTTAGAACATCTATTTTTTTTCTCTGTAATCATTGGTGGAAAACGGACCCTGTGAAGTGTCAAAAGGTTGAATCCCTTGCAACAAACATTCTTTGGGGTAATCAATGGAAAGTCAAAACTTCAAAAGCTTCTCGGTGCATTGAAAATGCCAAGAAGAATACATTTTAAAATAGCCAGGGTTGTTTTTCCAAAGTTAAACATTAGTTTTTCAGACCCACCCCCTTGTCAATAAGTTTCATTCACATTTATCCCACAAGAGGAGTATTTTTGCGTGTACTTTTTTTTAGTAAAGACCAAAATGACATATTCATGCCATTAACGTGATAGACAGTTTTTTTTATTTTATTAGAATACATATTAAAACAATTCTATAGAACATTTGCATGATACCCCTCCCGGTGTCAGACGTCTCCTTACCTGCAGAAGGAAGGATCATTTTCATTGTGGGCAATTGCTTGGGGCCCTAGAACTACGATGTGCCATTGGGGGCCCACTGAAAACAGCATGGGATGTGAGGTTTGCTATTCCATTCAGCATGCAGAGGCATTATTTCAGTGGTGTAAACAAAAAACAACACAGGCTGACATTCCTTTAATTTATTGCAATGATTTTGATGGTTTGGCTCTGTCACCATGGCAAAGAAATATTAGTCACATTTTGAATTCTTTTTTTTTTCTTCACAAATCCCAAGAAGAAGCTTGTATTAATTATGCATTGTGTTGTCATTGGTAGAAAGTGTAAAAAAAATAAAAATAATAATAATAATTCCATGCTTAGCATGCAAATGAGCATAATATATAATATGGTGTGGTTTTATTTATTTTTTTCTCCAAATAACTTTCCTTTGCTTGCATATTTGTCTGCAATTTTATTTATTTTTTTGATGCAGCAGTTTTCTGTCACTTGTTGAATATAGGTATGATACACATCTCTCCAGAAAATGGGAAATTAAGGGTTTGGATAAAAATAATTACATTTTAATGATGCTTGATTGATTTGTTCATTGTCTGCATGCAGTTTCATATTTCTGACCTCTCAAACTTGCCGTTTTGTTTTTGCAGACTGTAGATGTTGAGAAATTACTGGGAACTTCGGTTAATATTTCCACAGAAGGAGGTCAGTTGAAGGCAAAGTATGTTTACGCCCAGGCTTCCTCATTGTCCACAACCACAGGAGATATTCTACTAGGAGGTGCTCATGGTAAGAGACAACAACTTAGTGTATTCTAAAAATGTACACAGAGATTATGTGCTTCATGGATTGAAGTGTGATGTGTAAACCCCATGGAAAAATACAATATTTCTATAGCAAGAGTAGCCAAAACATAGATCCCTTGTAGACCTATACTACCATGATGCCGTTTCACCAAAGCATAATTAGAATTGTCGTTTGTCTGAGTGCACTAACCTGGATGTATTGGATGGCAATGGAAAAAAAAAATGCATTTTTTAAAATACATACATTTGTGTGGTTTCTACATCCTAAATTATAACTAGGTCGCTCACCTAAAAAAGGCAGAGCTCTTATACATCATGCTCTAGCAGCACTGACTGTTAATAGGCTATATGGCTGGGAGAGTGGCTGTTGTGTCCTGCCCACAAGCAATGGCATCTATTCAAGCCAATGATCAAGAAGCAAGAAGGATTTATGTTTGTGCTGTTAACCCACCAACACTAGAATCTTGGGGAGTGGTGTGAGGAAGTGTGAATGTAAAAGAACATATTAAATATGTATGTGTCAGTGAGCGTTTGTGTGTGTGTGAAAGAGAGAATTTTGTTTATGAACCTGTGTGTGTGTATGTTTTGTTTTAGAACCTGTGTGTGTATGTTTTGTTTTAGAACCTGTGTGTGTGTATATTTTGTTTTAGAACCTCTGTGTGTGTGTTTTGTTTATGAACCTGTGTGTGTGTGTATGTTTTGTTTTAGAACCTGTGTGTGAAAATGATGCACATATAGGTACTTGCTCGATGATTCTCAGGCACCCTTTAGTGAAAAAGAGATTGAACCTATAACAAGGGTATTTAACAGTGAGGAGGACACAGCTATATGGACACAAAAACGAACAACAAAATCCCACACTCAGGTGTTGGTGACCCTTACCCACCCCTTATTTTTGTAGCGCTGGATCTACCATTTGGCCATCCGAGTCTGTGATGGGCAGTTTCTGAAAGGGAGACAGTTGTTTTTGTTTTGTTTTTGTTTAATTGATGTTATGCATTGAATGGTAACCAAATAGACTATATCCTATTTAAAAATAACTATAACTAATGAAGGAACATTATGAAGGCTATTTTGGTTAGGTTTAATGTTAGGTAATTTTGTTTAAAACAAACATAAATTTGAATACAGGAGTATGCATGTTTGCAATCTCCCACTGTTATCAACTTTCCCATCGACGTGTTCAACAATTTTGTTGAATTGCAAAGGTGCTCAGGACTGGAAGATTGAGGTCTGGTATTTGAATCCCAAAGGCTACGATTATTGCTAAATGGTGAGAGGTGGAATAGAGACAAATCTAATATTGCATTTACAGTTGGGAATTTTGCTAAAAAAGTGAATCAGTGTTAAAGTGTATACAACCTTCCATCAAAACCAGCACACTGAAGTTCAAGTATGTAAATGTAATGAGGATTACAGATTGTTCATTTCTATTGAAAAGCATGACCTGAAATCGACCTAAAATCTGACATCTGTGTTTTCAGTCAGATTGCGTATTTTCTAGCCACTGCGCTTATTCGAATTCATACATAATAAATAATGCTTCTATCCCTGGTTTGCTGAAAATCTCCAGGATCCACTTAGATTTCGGAGAGGCAGAGATTTCTTAGCTAATCTTTGCTCTCCTGTTGTTTTCAGAGGGATAATTGTGCTTATACTATAAAATCCATGAGCATATCTTTGATAAGGACGTCTTTCTGGAGTGAGGGTGTGTGGCTATGGAGACAGGCCTATAGTGCAGAATTCTGCAAAACATTTGTTTTTATTTTAATGCAAAAACCATACAATGTAAAAACAGCATATTAATGAGGCCAAAACCTATCAAATATATTAAACTTGTATTGGTGTCAGGAGTACTTCTTTAATAACCCTCTTTTTATAATTGTCTCAACATTTCTTTTTTAGATTTAATTGATCATTATCCCTCTTAGCAACATATTGTAAAGTCCTATAATGTTAGGAATTGACAAGTTTTATTGTTTGTTTTTAAATATACAGTGGGACCTCGGTTTACAAACGCCTCGGTTAACATAATTTTTGGTTTACAAATGAAAATCCATTGAAAATAATGCCTCAGTTTACAAATTTTTTTTGCAATACAAAGCAAGTTTCCCCAGGATGCATTGCACCTGGGAGGTTTATAGCACCGCCCCCTGCATGCTGGAGCCTGGGGGTAGCACGGGGCGTCGAGTGTGGAGGTGTTGGAGCGGCTTTTGCATCGAGTTGTGGAGCCATTCTGGAAATAGTTTGCAGTGCTTTTGGGACTTTTTGGTGCATTTCTCAAGCTGTGGAAAGGTAGGGAGCTGAGCTTTGTCGTTTGCATGCCTTTTATTGTGTTCTGCATTGTGGGTTGGTTTCCATGCCAGCTCATTTTGACTTTTTTCTGACCTCCAGAACGGATTAATTGGTTTTCAATGCATTCCTATGGGAAACCGCGTTTCAGTTTACAAATTTTTTTGCAATAAGAAACGTCCTGGAGACCACATTAAATTCGTAAACCGAGGTCCCACTGTATTCAGTAATATTTTTGCTTACATTCCACATTATATCTCCACATTTGAGAGCTGTAGCAGTGTTAAGCTGTGTACTGTGGGTACTGCATAATTGGTCTTTGTACGGAACACCCTGGTCTTATTTAAAAAAAAAAAAAAAAAATATTGAAATAAAAACTGTTATATGACCTGTAATCTGTAAGCCAGATGGTTTTCTTGCTGAGGCTCTGCTCCGCCTATAGTAGATTATATGTATTGATGATATCCCGAGCAATCCAGTGCTTCTCATAGTGCAACATTAGGAGGCAGGGTGCATGGACAGCTTTTAATGTGCTTCACTCACAGTGCTTCTCGACTTTTACTACAGCACAAGTTAAGTGTGGAAATGCAGCCTCACAGCTGTCTGATTACACCCAGGAGAGTGCAATGCATTACCAATTTATTTAATAGCTGATGTGCTTTTGTGGATTGCAGTGTTCCTTTAATTCTGTTTTCTATTGGACCTGCATAAAATGTTAATATACTCGTACTTCTGACTTGTACATGTTCTGAAGCTTACATTAGCCAGCCAGAATGCTGGTCCTTCTAAAAGTAATGTCTCCATGCCCTTCTATGCTCAGCTTGCTTACAGAGCAGGGTCTGTGAGTGCTGGTCTTTACATCCAGACTTCCTATAGATTTGTTAAGAATTCTACCTCTCTCGATGTCCCCTTCTTAAACTGTTAGAGGACTGAAATAATAAAATGCAGACACTCAATAAATATAGTTTTGGATGCAGAGTTTTACTTTGGGCCATAGTGCAAGAATGCACAGAATGACAGATAGCTCTAAATATGCTATTGCTTTTAAAGCTCAGGAACATTTAGGCTTTATACATAAACCCAAAACTGATTGAATTAAAACTGCATTACAACACTCGGGCTAAGATAGCAATAGCGGATATGGAGACATGGGTAGATTGAGAGTCTCATCCCTGGGTCCTTTAGCCTCAAGTGTTCCTAATGTTATAATGTTATTTCTTTTTAGATTTAGAAAAAAAAATCTCCCACTGATCACAATTTCACAGTAATTATGGAATACTTATTGAAGGCAAAAAAAGAGCCACATTTTTGTCTTGGCTCTGTATTGGATATTTATTTCTAATATATAGTAATGAAAACAGATTTTGTTTGTGGTGTATCTTATCAACACTTGGAATTTCAAAGTGGTATTGAATAAACTACTACGGATAGTAACATTAAAGGGGACTTGTTATGACTCACCTTACCCTCCAATCCGTGACTGCTATGTCCTCCCAGAGGTAGGTGTTGCACTTTTGTAACACCCACCTCCAGTGTCCTCTCTCTCCTCCCGCAGTCTTCATTGATTTGTACTGTACTGCGGATGCCTCTCCATGCTGGGCAAAGCTCTTCTGCAACGTTGACACGCTGGCTTTGCCAGCATGCTGGCATCTGAATGAAGTGATGTCACTATAGGGAGTTACCATAGCAACCAAAGCATATGTGTTGTGGATGCTATGTCTGGATAGCAGAAGGATCACATGTGAGAGGTCTTCTCTTCTCTCCCTTGTTAGTCAAATCTTCATTATAGTCTATTGACTGAGAGGTGGGAGAAAAACCTATTTTTAATTAGTTTTTTCTCCCAATCTATACATTTGCTAGCAAATATGTGCGATCAATGTATAGAAATAATGTAATGCTTTTTAAAAAGAGCATAAGTTGTACCTGCTATCACAAGTACCCTTTAAGTACCTGATTACATTAATTTGGGGGGGGAAAGTACCATCAGAAATACGTTAACATGTTCAATTATTTGTAGCCCTTTTTTAATAAAGGAAGCATACCAGGCACACACAATTATGACAAGATGTCCCATTGTGCATATATATATTTTTTTACAGACCTTATCAGTAAAAACATGCAGTGTACAGGATATACTGCACGTTCAGTGACCACAATCATAGTAACATTCCAACTCTGCGTAAGTTCTATTATATTTTTATATCTAACTTATCAACGTAACACATTAAACTTATGCACACAAAAAAACCTTGCCTACAAAACTTTATCTTTGCCATGTCTCTTCCTCGTTACTGCTTACTCAGCACCAGTAAGTAATTACCTGAATAATTTGTAACTGATCAGTGCTCTCCTGTACAAATGTATGGCAGTATCAATGAGTCAGTGTGTTGGGAACATGCACACACATTGTCCTTTATATCATGTGCACCCTTAGATTTCAATCTATAGTGTACCTGGTCTTCAATGGGAGGGTGCCTAATACTGTGTATGCCAATACTATGCTTACCAGTATTGGTATTTATGGTAAGTATGATGGTTGGACTCCTGTGTGGGGTTGTAACAGTGATATAATTCATATCACTGGTAACACACTACTGTAAACTGGGAATGACACCCAGATGTGCTCTATGTAGGGTACACCCCTAAGTGGAAAGGTCCAAATTGGGCCTAATTATACATTTTCCCTTCCCTGTGTAATGTGACTTGTTAGTGTTAAAAAGTCTTAGGTATGAATGGAGAACAGGTGTGTTAAATTTGGTGTTATCGCTCTCACACTCTCTCATATTGGTCACTGTAAGTTCAACATGGCACCTCATTGCAAATAACTCTCTGAGGATCTGAAAAAAAAAATTGTTGCTCTACCTAAAGATTTACTAGGCCAGGCATAGGCAACCTTCGGCACTGCAGATGTTTTGAACTACACCCCCCATGATGCTTTGCCATAATTTTGGGTGTAAGAGCATTATGGGGAATGTAGTCCACAACATCTGTAGTGCCGAAGGTTGCCTACCCCTGGACTAGGCTATAACAAGATTGCCAAGACCCTGAAACTGAGCTGCAACACGGTGGGCAAGACCATACAGTGGTTTTACAGGACAGGTTCCACTCAGAACCGGCCTCGCCATGGTGGAACAAAGAAGTTAAGTGCACATGCTCCTTATCATATCCAGAGGTTGTCTTTGGGAAATAGTTGTATGAGTACTGTCAGCATTGCTGTAGAGGTTAAAGGTGTGGGGGGTCAGCTAGATACTGACATACTGAAGCTGAATACTGGCTTAGAGGTAACATTGCAGCCCCAGGACTGCAAGGTACCCGGGTTCAAATCCGCTACTGGGCACTCCTGGGGTGACCTCGCCTGGCACTCTGGAAGTTACGGTGGGAACCCTGACAAGAAGGAAGCCTCTTCTAAAGATGATGCACAAGAAAGCCTGCATATCACTCTGGAAGTTACGGTGGGAACCCTGACAAGAAGGAAGCCTCTTCTAAAGATGATGCACAAGAAAGCCTGCATATCACTCTGGAAGTTACGGTGGGAACCCTGACAAGAAGGAAGCCTCTTCTAAAGATGATGCACAAGAAAGCCTGGTGTTATCGCTCTCAGTTTGCTGAAGACAAGCAGACTAAGGACATGGATTACTGGAACCATGTCCTGTGGTCCGATGAGACAAAGATAAACTTATTTGGTTCAGATGGTGTCAAACAGAGACAAGTGTGTCTTGCCTACAGTCAAACATGGTGGTGGGACTGTCATGGTATGCGCCTGCATGAGCTGCTGGCACTGGGGAGCTACAGTTCATCGAGGGAACCATGAATGCCAACATGTACTGTGACATACTGAAGCAGAGCGTGATCCCGTCCCTTCAGAGACTGGGCCGCAGGGCAGTATTCCAACATAACGACCCTAAACGCACCTCCTAAACGACCACTGCCCTGCTAAAGAAGCTGAAGGTAAAGGGAATGGACTGGCCAGGAATATCTCCAGACCTAAACCCTATTGAGCATCTGTGGGGCATCCTCAAACGGAAGATGGGGGAGCGCAAAGTCTCTAACATCCACCAGCTCCGTGATGTCGTCATGGAGGAGTGGAAAAGGACTCTAGTGGCAGCCTGTGAAGCTCTGGTGAACTCCATGCCCATGAGTGTTAAGGCAGTGCTGGAAAATAATGGTGGCCACGCATAATATTGACACTTTGGGCCCCTTTTGTTCCCAACGGTTTAGACAATAATGGCTGTGTGTTGCGTTATTTTGAGGGGACCGCAAATTTACACTGTTTACATTGTAGCAGATTGTCATTTCTTCAGTGTTGTCACATGAAAAGGTATAATAAAATATTTACAAAAATGGGAGGTATATTATTATATAGGTAAACTTGTTTTTAAGTGTAATTGTTAAATACATGTTTCATTTTTAAATATCTTTATAACTGCACTTGAAATATTAAGTCACAATCGGTATACAGTTCTTCAAGCAGCGTTTTTCAATAAACATTGACATAAACAAGCGAAGAAAGTCCAAAAGAGAATACTACAAAGCACTAAACTTAAACAAAAAACTGTGAAAACATACATGATGTAAAGGAGTCCCACCATCTTTGGAATGATCTATTAGGGGAAGACAGCACCAACCAAGATACGCAAAAGGTCCTCTGCATGACAAAGAAACCGTGCATGTTTATTAAATCTATAAGAAACGTACTTGCTGAAAGTATCTCTTGTGAAGAGATTCCAATGTGTGATAATCAACGTTTCAGTGATATAAATCCTTGAATGCTTTTTCTGTACCGTTTTATATTGTGTGTGTGAGCAGTAACTCTTTTGATGTGGGGAATAAGAGAGGAAGAAGAAAGGGGAGAATAGATGAGATCAAGTTCTAGTTAGAAAGAAGCCATGAAGAGAGAATTGCTGCCATCACAGAGGGGGATAATGCGCCTAAAAATAAGCTCATGGTACATCACCACCCTCAAAGTCCTCCCATGGTGCCCATGGTTTATAGACTGCTCTAAGTGAATTGTGGATTTGTGCTGTCAATTGATCCATTATGAAATTGTCCCTAGTTTTCTGCATCACAATTTCAAGTGGAAGCCTTAATAAATATCGTCTCGTGGTGACCAAGATAATATCTTATTCCCACAGCCATAGCTAGCAATTGTAGAGGAAGTGACAAAACCTGCCGATGGCACCTCTGCTCTTTGTCAAGTTTTATCAACTTAAGAATTTAACATAATCGAGTAATCCCTACTTTTTTTTAAGGAATTTATCTTTATGGAATGCTCAGAAATATCTTTTGGTTAACAGAGCTGCTTTAAAGAGATTTAAAAAGTAAAAAATGCTATGAATATTGCATTCAGACAAAGATATTGTTTCCGAGACTAAGAGCATAACAGACAGGAGTCTGCTTTGGAAAAACAGTCAATTCAAGAGGAAGATCCAAAGGCCTTGTATGTTTGAGTCGCCAGCCTGACAGCCAGACCTTGGTGTGGCCTTTAAACCTGTCACAAATAATGTCACCTAGATCATTTGTGATTTACCATTAATCATTTGTGATCTTGTTTGTTTACTTGTACACCCTGTTTAAGCACGGAGTAAATATTTAGTGATTTACTGTACATCCCCTTTTAAACAATATATTTGTGAAAATATACAATTCTCTTCACTAATGTGTGGTATTAATAAAACTGGACACTTATTTACATCCTTACTATAATCATTTACATAGCTGCGACTACATCGCAACTCACTCTTATTGCCGCCTATACACAAATAGAACAGCGTCCAGTTTAAACAAATAGTTACATCACTCTGCTTATTTATTAGGTGACAACTGAATAATTGCTGACAGCTCTGGTTGAATTTTTTTTCCTCCTCTCAATGAGTTCCCTGAAATAGAAATATTACAGTTTTCTTGGTAATTAAGAAATTCCCTTAGTAGAGCCTTTGCCAAAGCATTTTTAGCTGGATTGCTCTGACCTCTTACTAAACACACAACCCTTTGGACAGTGATCCCAGCAGACCATGCAGAGGATATTGCATTGAGAGTTGACATGAAACAGGTTTCCCATGAGCATTAATCCGACTTATCAAGGAAGAAAGTCTGCAGAATTCTTTTGTATCTATCTTCTCCCACACCATTGTCTCCCTTAATGTATTGGCACATAAGTTCACAGGCAGGGCTCCTGTCCTGTTGTTCTTAGCCACCCAGCTAGATTGGGAATTCACTGGCTTGCTTATATTGCATTGTATTTGTCTTCCATATATTCAAAGAGTACAGCCCAACAACCTATGTTGGGGATAGTGGAACTCCATTATACCGTATTTGATTTGAGAAACCAAATTGATATTGAATGCCTGAAGATCTTATTTTTGTAAAACTAGTCAACTAAAACTGTAAAACTAGGCATTATTGTATGTATTTTTTGGTATGGCACCTCCTGCCCAGGTCACAATATACACATGGACGTGTTTTATATTTCCCTGTGATACGCCCCTCACAGACATGCTTTAATAGCACTTACTGGAGTGAAGGAATGACGGATGTTTCACTCCAGAGAAATTACAGCTCACCTTTAAATTATGCTACACACTCACAGCCTTTATATTTACTGTACTGTATCGCCATACGACAGTATATCATGACCTCTCTATTCTGTTGTATAGTTTATAATGATTAGTTACTTTTTCAGTTTGAGGATTCTTTTCTTTCCAGTTAATTAATGGCTTATTTAAAGGGACTCTCCAGTGCCGCACTGCAGCTCCCCTCTCACCCCCCATCCCATCCCTTCAGTGACTTACCTGTATCCAGCGCCGATGTCCCTCAGCACTGGTTCAGGGTCCGCCCACGCTCCTTCCCCGCTGACGTCATCCGGTGGGGGAGATCTATTGCGCATGTGCTTCTGCCGGCAGTTGGAAACCTATTGCGCATGCGCGGCCGGCGACGGGAAAGACCTAATGCTCACACGCATTAGACCTCCCCATAGGAAAGCATTGGACGTCCAGCGACGCTATAGCACACGAAATGTGTGCTATAAACCCGGAAGTGCCCTCTAGTGGCTGTCTAGTAGACAGCCACTAGAGGAAGAGTTAACCCTGCAGGGTAAATATTGCAGTTTTTGAAAACTGCAATATTTACACTTACAGGGTTAAGGGTAGTGGGAGTTGGCACCCAGACCACTCCAATGGGCATAAGTGGTCTGGGTGCCTGGAGTGTCCCTTTAATATTAACCCTTGTAGCTCTAGCAACCCTCTCCCTGCTATTTTGTTGCAATCCAACAAGATTGAGATTAGAGTCTGTTTGTTAGCTTTTTTCTCCATTTTGTTTTCCTTAATTTTCAGTCCATTTCCTTCCACCCACAAAATACCAAGGACAGTCTAGTGAAAATAGGAGTAATGGTCCCTCTGCCTTTTTTTTATAATCACACACCAACAGTCATAAAAGCCATGGAATTTTCTAATCGACATCCTCCTTGGGGAAGAGAATTGGAGAGAAAATCTACAGAACATCTGTAGCCTCATGTCCATCGCCAGCTGTTTGCACTCAGCAGCAAAGCAGCCATAACATTTTTTTAAAGTAATAACTGCTGATCAAGTTGGGATTTATGGCTGGTTTGCCCTGCAGGTAGAACTGTGGAATATTTTGACTTCAAGAAAAGACAAAATAGATCTGAGTGTATCCACATGCACCTCTCCTCCTCTCATACCAATCTGAGCACGTAGGAGACCACTGAGCACGCTGGTGGAACTGCAGGATGGGGGTCATTCAGCAAACAGAGCCTACATGTCCAGATACGTTCTTTCACTAGTGTCTGGTAAAACTATCAGAATCACAGATAAAGGGAGGCTGATGGATGAATGCTAGAGACGTTCCTTCACATTTTTCACAGCCTGGTTATTTTACTTTCCAGCACATTAATCAGAACGAGAACGAGTCCAATCACCTTGCAGAAACTCTGTAAAGATTTATAGGTTTTAAAGCAAATTCTGCTTCTAGAAAATTATTCCTGCCTGTCAATTACAGTGGTGTCTGTGTGTGAATATTATTTTCAGGTGATCTAAAAATCCATGTAAATGTGAAATATATTATTTCTAGCCAATTAAGCCATTCACAGTTGTACACCAACACCTGGCTGATTCACAGAAGATATACACTGGGTAAATATTTACTATGGCTGCCTGCAGTACAGCGATGAGAGAGAACCATTCATTATTTCTGCTGCAGAATCATTTGGTTTCCGCAATATAACAGAGTGGAAAGAATGTATCTACCAAAAAATCTGCTGGGAAAATGTATAAAAAAAAATCAAAAGGAATTAAACTGAAGTTTGAATGAATGCAATAGACCTTATGCATTATTCTCAAAAAGAAGAAATACATATAAACCCATATCATTTAGGCTACATACCCTAATTTCCAAGTGACTAATGAAGACATATGGTGAAACATTGCCTGCTGTAGGTTAAAAGAACACTCCAATCACCATAACAACTACAGCACACCGCAATGATGATGGTGCTCAGAATGCTCTGATGCCCTCCCAAATTAAGTAGTCAAACAGTTTGTCAACTTACCTGGAGTCTGCTGGTCACCGGTCGCAGCCTCTTGTGGATTTAGAAGCCCTTGCAAGGCTCTTCCATTAGCTCCACTGAGCTAAGCCCTGCACATCTGGGGTAGCTCAGTGTGGAGAGCATCTGGCTGCACAGTAGGAGTTGATCAGCAGTTGGCAGAACCCAGGTAAGTTATCCATGCACTATATTCCAGTGGGCTGGTAGTTTCCTACTTTACTTACTGTGAACTCCAGATTAAAGCAGAAGCTAGTGCTTCTAATAGAGAAGAACTGATTTCAGAGTTTGGCTTTGAGAAGCATTGTTGATATATTGAAGGGATTACCACACATGTACCATGTGTCCTATTGCTTCTATGTGCGAAACATCTGATTGGATACAAGGTGAGTTTAATAGTTTATAATCACTATAAATGCCTAAAAGGAACTCTAAGCATCTAAACAACTTTAGCTTAATGCAAAATAATACTGTATAGATCATGCCCTTGTCATTTCCCTGCCATTTAGATGCAAAATCTCTTTGCTTATAGACAGAACTGAATGGTGAATTGGAGCAGTGGAACAGCAGGTGCACGATATATACACCAATACTGCTTCATTAAAGGGACACCCCACACATCTAAAGCACTTGAGCTTTCTGATGTTCTTTGTGTTAGTGTGTCCACTTATCGTTTTTTAAAAAAGGACCTATTTCAGTAGACCATGACATTTTTGTAAATTAACCTTGTTACGCCCCCATGGCAGTCAGACAGCTGGTCCTATTCCTGGTAGTTGTGCTCAGTGGAGGCAGGCAATTACTGAGAGCATGTTCCTTGACCAAGATTTCTCATTGGGAGTCTGTGATTGGACAGCTACAGGACGTCTGATCTGTGTTGCAAAGGCTGCAGGTGTGCGGCTGTTTTCAGCTATACCTACAATGAAAAAATGCATGCATGTTTTCATTGGGCATATATCTTGAAATTTTTTATTTTTTTTTATTTTTTAAATCAAATACAAAACATTTCCATTGGAGTGTTCCTTTAGTTTTAGTGCTTACCCTTCAATGACATGACAACAGAATAAATGCCAGTGATGGTTTGTGGATGGCAGGGAAATGGGTTGAAATGTGATACTAATAATAAAAGCTGACATATGGGCCGATAAATACAAGGATATAGGAGGTGAAATATTATTATATTTCAGGTTTTCCCTGACCTGCTCTGTTTTACAGTCATGGGAATAGGAGTAGAACATATTGAAGTGTAATGACCGGTTATGTGTCTTAATCATACCTTTTGACTGATTAGTATGACACAATGATTTCATATTTTTTACAATGTTGGCATTATATCTAATGAAACATATGTGTGGCTTCTGAGCCTCCTTGTTCACACACTGTAGACATCAATCTACAACTATTGATTTAAAACAGCAGTGGCTAACCAAGGTCACTTTATCTGTTTTATACTACATTTCCCATGATACTTGGCAACTGAAATACTTAAAAAAAATTTAGCCAAAAAGAAGGAATGCCTTAAATACTCAAAAAAAACCAAAAACTTTGATAATGTACTACACACTGTCTTTTCTTACCTAGTTTTTTTGTTTTTCTTTTGCTTGATGCCGTTTCATAGTTAGGATTTTTGTTTCTTTTTCATTTGTAGGTGACACAAAGCTCCAGTCAGAGACAGGAAATATTACAGTAGGTATGGATGCTTTGTTCATAAAAATGTGGTAAAGCAATTTGTTTTATTACAATAACATGATGGCACTGTGTAGACAATAACAAGCTAACTGTACATAGTGCTTCTCAAATGGCTAACTGATAATTGTGTTCTGTTTTCACTTTCCACCTCTATGTCATGGGTATAGTTACATGAACTACAGATATTCTGTGCATGCTCCCACAATGCTTAGAGCACAGTCCCAGAATGCTGTGCATGCAGCATTATGGAATTATGACTACCTCTAGCAGCATGTCTCTGATGCCCTAGTCCTCCACTTAGCCTATCCACTCTGACTTCCATGCCCCTCAAGTAAGGAATTATGTTAGCTGAGGAAGACCAGGCTGTACATAGAAGTTCAGCACTGAAATTTAGCTTTTCTTTTTTGGGGGAGTTGACCAGTAGAGTAACAGTAAGTGTTACACTAACCAAATGCAGTGTTTTCTTAAAACATTATTTTTTTTTTTAGTTGAAGTAACACTTTAAGGCCCATTGCATATTTCTGGAAGGTAAACTTCCTAGACATTTTTAACATTGAGATGCAATATATTATTATTAACAGTTAACTGTGTAGAGAACTAATTGATCTACTATCATGCTCGAATTAGTCATCAGGCTAACCGGACAAATGCTTGGTAGGCTACGATGGCCATAGCTCTCCTACAGCTATTATTGCCCATCATTGCACAGAGATTTATATCTGAATTGCTTTGACGTATACAATGATTCTTTGCAGACTCCTCAGATGGGTGTTTAACTGCTTTTACACATCAAGGAGCCATAGATGTGTATGTCAGCCAAGTCGGCAAGGTACATCTTAAATCAGACAAAGGTGAGAAAATAATCATTTAAAATGTTCATTTGTTTTTCTGTAATCTCTTTAAAAGCAGCTTCATGATACTGATTGAATGGGAAAATATAAAACACAAGGATTCACCTTATAAATAAATTGTAAACATTTGTAAAGAGAGGAATGTTGTTTAGTAATGGCTGATCAATATGGAAATGTTATACAAAACCATAGTGGAATATGACGAAGAAAATTGAGCATATTCATTCATATCAACCTTTCCCTCTGCCTCCCCCAGTACATGCAATGTGTATGTATATTGTGAGTGATAGGTGCCCCCGTCTTGGGAAACTTACCGTCTCTACCTTTTTCCCTCATGGTTAGGAGTTGTATGATGATAGTAACAGAGCCACTGGCTCTTCAATTTCTTTTTAATTATTTTTCTTTTCATTGATGGCAGTGGAGAGAATACAAAGATAATTTATCTCTTAATGTAAATGGCCTTTCCATTACTAGTTTTCAAAGTAGATAAAAAGTGTTTTTCTGTAACAGTTTCCCCTTAAGATACATATCTTCACAGCACTGATGTATGGAAATAGCCTGCACATGTGTTCTCTGAGTGTGTCCGTGTGTGACTCTCATTGTATATGTTAAATGTATAGGCTCTCTTGGCCGTGCAAGGTGATATTTCTGTTTTCTTTTGATTAGGCAATATTACATTGAAAATCCCAGAAAACCTTCAAACATATGTCCAGTTATCTGGGGCAAAAGTTGATGTGAGCCCCGATGTCCAATTACAGGAACTCCAGAATACTTCCAGAGAGGGCCAGACAGTTGTAAAAGGTATGTTATGGGGTACATATTTTAGTCTTTATGAAGGCAGCTGCAGTCTGATTCTAGTATGGGTATGCTTAATCCATTTCATACTTTTGTATACGGCCTTTTTTTTCCATCTGGATTTCCGAGGAGCAGCACTGTGCAGCTGCCCAGAGTCCAGGATCCCAGGACAGATTTACAGTTCTGTTGAGTTTCTAATGAATTTTAAAACATTACAAAACGGCGTTGCAAGAATAGCACACACCTGCTGCTTCACTGGAAGAGACAGGACCCATGAGTACAAAAGCAACATGAAAAGATTAATCTAATTATTGACAGCTCGAGCCTACAAAGTCTTTCACTCAGAATAGAGAAATCAGATACAGTAGCACAACTACCTGCTTCCACAACAGATATTCTTGTTAAGGGGTCTGTTCACTAAACAAATTAAGGCTAAAATATTTGAATTTAACCTTCATTGGAGATTATTTTCCAGCACTGTTATTTTGACTTTCATGATAAAGATAGAATTTTCAGGACGTCGGTGATATTAACCTTTTAGGCTAAAATGCCTGAATCAGAAATATTCTTTATGTATATTTTCAGTTCAGCTATTCAACAAAAAACAAAAGCACGTGCATATGTGGTCAAACACTCTATAAAAATATCCAGATTCTGAAACTGTAAAATAAATTATGTAACACACACAGAGAACTACGCACAATGTAGAGACACAGCAACAGAATGAGTAAGACTGAGGCGGCCCAGGTGGTCAGCTCTGCTTTTATGGAGAGCATAAAAGTCGCAAGAGAGTGCTGAGAATGGGCAACAACTCAATTAACCTGCCCTTTGGTGGGTCCCCGCTCAGTTCTCAAGCTGGTTTTAGCTAATATTGTGCCATTAAAAAGAACCAGGCCATTTGCATCTCAAACTGATTTCACCAAAAAGGGCAGAACAGGCCCAAAATACAGACCGTGTCTCTCTGCATGTGAGATACAGCAGCCCCAGACGATAGTTTCAACCTTGTTAGGCATCATCAGTGAGGTATAGCCAATATCCCTCTAGGCACCGTGCCCTTTTGGGTAGAATGGCCCGGTTCTTTTTGTAATGGCACAAGATGAGCTTAAACCAGCTTGAGATCAGAGCGGGGACCCACTGAAGGGCAAGCTAATTGAGCGGTCATCCATTCTCAGCACTCTCTTGCGACTTGTTTCTACCTCTGCTTTTATTGCTTAAATGTCTAGAACAGGGGTAGGCAACCTGCGGCACTAGTGCCATGCACGGCACTCGAGGTGTCTTTGCACGGCACTCAAGGCTGCTAGAGCCAAACGCACTCTGGCCTATCAGGAGTTCCAGTAAAACTTCAGATATCTGCTAATACGAAGAGGTGGTGAAGGACAATCCTCAATTTATGCATTACAGCACATAGAGGAAGTGATCTCAGATCACTTCCTCCCAGCACTTGTGAATGGGAATTCACACTATAGTAAAGCAGCCCTCGACAGCTATCACAGCTCCTAGTCCCCACTGGAACCCACCCACACTGCTAGATAGACAAAGAAATGCAGAATAACCCTCCCCTCATACAAATAATATGAACAGCCCACACACACACAATCCCCACAAACGCAACACCACTAACAATCTTCATACATTCACACAACTCCACATGCAGCCTCTCACATGCAATACCCCAAACAGCCCCCACACACTACCAAACACACAATGTGACATATCCATCCACACACACAATTCCACAAGCAGCCCCCATACACACCACACATTCATATGTATCATACACGATACCATAAACTACTATTGAACATATACAATATAATAGCTCATATACACACAAATACAACGATACAAAGCAATTACAGTAAAAATAACACAAGCAGAACACGGCAGCATACACACCTCAATTATGAAAAATAGGATCAGCACGCTAAGGGACATCACAATCCTTTATCGGCACAGTGCTGCTAAAAGGTTGCCTACCCTTGGTCTAGAAGATAAATGAAAATCCAATGTATGGCACTTTTGTCTTATTGTATCAAAGTAAAAGAAATTTTATATATTTTTACATCTTACAAGAATTTACATCTTTTTTTTTTAAATTTAGTTTAAACTGAAGTATCCATTTAACTTAGAGCAGGTTTGTCATCCGCCAGACATACACACTTTTTGAATGCAAAGGTTGGTCAATGTATTTTATGGGAGTTGTAGTCCTACAATATCTGGGGGAGCAGAGTTTTACAATTTAGGCTTAGAGCTCTCTCCAACCAGTGCTATTCAGAAGAAAGGGATACATTGTGTGCAACACAAGGAATCAAGTATCTCTAGCTTTGATTGCTCTGTTTTACTCTTAGAGAGGTGGAGTATTGGTTCATTGTTTTACATTTCCAATCATTCTTTTCAGGGACTTTGAATTTGGTAAATGAAAGAGAAAGGTGTATTGAAGCAGAAGCTAACAGTGGCACAATTTACATAAAACACCAAAACTGGCTTCAGTCGTTAAAACTGCACTCTACCTGACCATCCAACTTCTTCAAGACTGTGTACCAGTAACTCTGACATCTGTTTTGACCTCTACAATTGGGTATTAAGAAGAAAATTATTTTCTTGTTGGGTGCAGTCTGTTTCTGCTTTGTCTCATGAAAAATAAAAACACATTCTTCAACAGGAAAGACTAACTCGATCAGTAGAGGCTGTACATTTTTCTGTAGCCACTGCTTTAAGGGTATAGAAGAAAATGAAGAACGTTCCTCATCTGTCTGGCAAAGAACAAACTCACAATTCTGGACTTGTCTCCTCTATTTAAAGTGAGTTAGGGTAAACAGACATTTTACCTCTATCTTTAGACTTTAATGGGTGAAAATGGTTCTTATTAGGTATGATTACTTTTCCAGTTTATTGCCTGGAGTGTGCATATGTAGAGAGCATTGCTTCATCATACAGGGAAATCATGTCACTAACTATTTGGCATAACAAAGTTGCCTAATGAACTGTGCCTTCTGCCTGCAACTACATAGCAATGTGTTATGCCACTATGTAGATTTAAATTTGTTAGTTTAGATCCAAACACTTATATTCAGGGATTCAATAATGTTAACATTTATAAATCGTATTTTAATCAACTATTAAAAAGCCATGCTCCCAGAGAACTAGTGAGAGCACCTTATAGATGTTTTGTCTGAATACTGTATGGTTTTTCCACGGTGTAGGTCGCAGGATTAGAGCTGTAATTAGGTGTGTGCCTTTCACGGTCCATATAGTTCAGAAATGGCTAACCTTGACACGAGATGCTGGTGAACTACAATACCCACAATGTTGTGCTAGTCCATGTAGTTCAAACAGCTGGAATGCCAGCTGGCCATTACTGATGGAGGTTTTTTCCCTTTATTCTGCATGACTAATTCACATTTCTTCTGACTGTTGTGTTCAACGGTTTTCCTATATGTTATTGTTGCTTGTTTTATAAGTCTTTTTCTAAGTATGGCTAAACATTTCTTCACCATTTTTAATGTGCCTACTGTGATCTTAACCACTACTAATATATGTCTTGTGTACCAAGAAATTAAGCTGTCTGGTCAACATAAGGCTGCAAATCAACAGTGCGGCTTGCAATAAAATGTAGAACAAAGCAACGTGTGGTTTATTTTCACTTTCTGGGTATGTTTTGCAGTTAGTAATACACATGGTAATTAATAAGTGGTTAATGTCGTATTTAGTTCATTTTCAATATTATTCTCAACACAATTGTCTGGAAGATACAATGCCAGCCACTGCCTTGCTGCTAGGTTTCAACTAGCAGTGGCCAGGATTCAATTTTTTACTTCTACACGATTTAGTCTAAAGGAGCTGTACCATTCCTTATTTTCCATTTTTTTCTGCGATAGAACATTAGATAATATTGAATCACAGACCCAAAACCAAAACAAGTGTAACAAGGTTATCAGACACCTACCAGAGCCTTGTTGGATGGACCCTGTGTAAATAATAGATAAACCTGTTCACAATTATTTCAAAATGTAGAGGTATGACTGCTAACAAGCAGTGTCTTTAAAACAGAATGGTTAATATGAGATGGGATGACAGAAATAGTAACAAGTGCATTGTAGGAAAGGAGAAGAAATGGGAAATAGGAAAGCTATAAGCCTGGTCTCATGGGAGCAGTGGAACAGAGTCCTGTGAGGTGGGCCCAGCCATTCCATGGTTCTTCTTCATCTGTCAGATAGTCAGGGAAAATATGCTCAAGCCTACTATCTGCAACAAATAAAACCACCTGTTCAAATAGTCCATATGAGATCTGGGGGTCTGTGATTTCCTTGTAAATATTTATATTATCTATAGTTCTAAAGAGCTTCAGTAGAGCAATTTATATGCAAATATACCAACTACTCATGTCTTCCTTCTGGCTGTCCTCTTCAAAGACTCCATTAAAAAGTCAGGGTTTTGTAATATTGCTCAGGTGCAGATATTGTTTGTTTTTACTGACCAGTGAAGTGTACCTAACATCATTTTGACAAACAAGGTGTATTTGTCAAGCCTTTGTTAATCTTGTGTGTTGGAACATTGCCAGACTTTATTGAAAAGTTGAATAAGCCAAATCTGTACTTGTGAATTTCTGCCATGTTTCATGTCTTTATTATAAACCTAGGATTCATGAGGACACCATACAATATTGTCCTGCTACTCCTAAAAGAGTCCAATCACTTGTGTGAGGTGAAACATCAAATATATGGAAGCTAAACAGGACAATATATTAAAAGTAATGTTGCTCCGTAAATGCTCTATATTTATTTATTTATTAATGCTCTCCATTCATTTATTTATTGCAGCTACCCTAGTAGTCTCATGACCACAAGTCACAATGCCAGCAATGGGCAATGGCATTTGAATAATCTATCTCAAGCTTGGCTGAGTACTACAAGAATATTCAGATCTTTCTTTTAAATGCAATTCAGTATGAATATAAAAATTCTAACGAACGCTCTAAGCAACATATCCACTACCGTTCAGACTAGTGATTATATTGCAAAGGGTCTCTACGTGCCATCTCTCAAATCTTTGTTGAACTTTTTGGAAGCAGACTGATAAAAACTAAAACCGTGGATTTCTCCAGGATCCAGAGACTGCCTTCTCTTGTGCAGCTATCGTAATGCAGAACTTGCCCAGAGCCTATTGAAAACAAAATCATTATACTGAATTTATCTATTATTAAGCAAATTTCTGTTGCTTAAAATTCCCCCTTTAAGTACAATTGATAGATAAGTCAAGATTAATTTATCATTTTAAGCAATGCAGATGCATAAAAGGAGATTTAAATCTAAAGAGCAATGAACCATAATGATGTATTAATAACCAAAATTAATGTATTGATTTGAACCATGTACTCATTGAGCTTCAGGTTGTCAACACCGATAAAGCTCATCTGATGACATCACACTTGTCCTAATCAGTGACTTACATGATTGTGACTTCATAAGCAGTTGGTCTAAGGAGGTGAAGACTTGATGTAAGTTAAGGTACAGATTATTGAAACACCAAGGAAATGCCATTAGGGAGAGCACATTCAGTAAAGCAGATGTTTAAAGTTTTTATTTCAAATTTCTGCTGAATTCAGTATATTTACAAAACAGATTTTGTGAGATGGAAAATGAGCTCCTGAAGGCCCACATAGGATACTCGATAAGCACAGTGCATATATATAAACTTACAATTATGAATGGAAAATGCTAACAAATCTTGCACTTTCGCCAAAAAGTTTGTATACCATACCTGTCCAAGGGAAGTGAATTACTGAGGACATACTGACCTACTATTTGGCATTTTCTCCCATTTATGAAATTGGCAAATCTATATTGTTTATTCCATTCTTTTATTACATGCTATTTGAAGGACATATGGTGATAATATAAAAAAAATTTCTTGGGGCACATACTTAATGTTTTTTAATTACTACTAGAGGCATTGCACTATAAATGTACCTGTCATGACCAGCACAACTTAAGTTTAAAAGAACCCGCTAGTGTACAAATCTGTATTTCTAATGCTATAATTTCCTGTCCCCTCTGTTTGCCATGAACATTTTTTTTGTAAGTAAAGTTTTACCCACCTTTTTCCATCACCGAGTCTTCCTTGGTACTGTTCGCCTCTCCACCTCACATGACGTGAGGACATCCATGACTTAAGAATCACACAAGATTCAGCTGCAACAAAATTACTTAAAGTCACCCATACATGTGCACAACTGAGTGCTAAGGTTGGGCAACTGGAAGATGCGCGACAACGCAATATGAAGGTGCGGGGGATTCCTGATGCCATAGATTCAGTTGAATTGTCGCAGTTTTTTAGGAGGTTATTCTCTGCTACACTGACCCCTAAACAGGCTAATGGACTATATCTTGATGGATTTTACTTCATTGTTGCAATACAGGGTGCACGTAACGTCCTTCACACATAAAATAACATGTAATACAGAATTGACATGTTCACCTATATATATATATATATATATATATATATCACTGTAGAAAAGCTTACACTCACAGTCTTCTCCATTTAAAAAGTTAAAAATACAGACCAACATTTCAGTCCCCATCAGGGACTTTGATCAGGATCAAGGATCCTTGATCCCGATGAAAGTCCCGGACGGGGACTGAAACGTTGGTCTGTATTTTTGACTTGTTTCAATAAATTTTGACTTTTTAAATGGAGCAGACCGTGAGTGCAAGCTTTTCTACAGTAATTTCTACATTTGGTTACCCCTGTTGATTGCCCTCGGCACTTTAATTAAACTACAGCCTGAGTGCAAGGAATATCCAGTATATATATATATATATATATATATATATACATACACACACACACAATACGGTATACAAATAACTCTTTGCATATAAAATTCAATATTGCGTACAGCTGTTCACCATATTTTGCATATAAAATATGGTTGGGTAGAATAAATTAATTTAAAATGCCTGCATCCTGTTATCTTGTATCACTTTCACACCATGCCTCTACCCTTTCTAGCATTTGTACTCCAGCTTTTCCAAAATCTAGTCAAAGACTGCCTATGGAAAAACATCCCCTGCGGATCTCTCATAAAATCTGTTGACTGCCAGCTAAGCTGGGAGGCCCTTATATCAAGAAGTATTATGTTGCTTCATCTCATGGTCAAACTACTTTGCTGCACTCTCTCTCCATTCCACTCTGGGCTAGTATAAAAGATGATGCTCTCCTACCCTACAGTGTAGCACAACTACAGGAAAATAACAGGGAGATTTTTAAGCATTGGTGCATTAATGGTATGGTACCCCATAGGCTGGTGACCATTTTTTCCAACACACCTGCTGTGTACTGGCATTGCGGCCAAAAACAAGGTTCCACATTGTATATTTTTCGACCATGTCCGATCCTTCAACCCTTCCAGCTTTAGATACGTTAATCTGCAATCTTTTTATTAAACATGCTCCGCACGATGACTCAACCGTCTCAACAGGAGATGTCCTTTAAACTTGCATGGAAACAAGGAGATGTCCTTTAAACTTGCATGGAAACTACAGATCATCTTCAAAAATATTTGAGATGCCTGGCAATGATACCGCAGATGGGGATTGATTTCTTGTGGATTTTAGTGCATGAATTAAATAATATACAAAACCTATCAGTAGGGGACACTGCCCATTCCACAAGATGACATGTCTAATAGTTTACAAACGTCCATTAATTATTTTATCCAGCAAGACTGGAGGCAAAGGATTGGGAGTTCAATCCTTAATGGTAAACAATTATTGAAGGTTTGGGCATTCCCAGCTTTCTCTTGTTATTTTACAGCACATTTTTTCCAAATTCAGGTCCACCAGCTTGTCAAGTATGCATTTGGCACATCGGTGCCTATGGATCTACAATGTCCTTCTATTCAAAATACTCTCCTTCAGACAGTTTCTGAAAACATCTATTTTCTGAAATCACTCTAGTTGCTAAATGAGCCGTAGTTGCTGGCTATATACATTTCCTCTTGTCAAGGTTTGCACATGATTAATTACCACAAAATGGATAAAATATTAGCATTAATTCATAACACACTGGCTTCTTTTCATAAGGTTTGGTGACCATGGACCAAGCTCGGGATTGGGCATGTTTCACTTGTTTAAGAATATATATATAGACAGATATTCTAACATTTTAGGCCTCTCCACACCAAGCACTAAATTTAAGCATTCAAGCTACATTTCACAGTTGATTTCCAGATCAAAATATTAAGCATGCATCATGACAAAGAGAACCTAGTATGTTAACTACTTAGAACCAAACGTAATTAATGTACATTAAGTCTACATTTAAGGAGCCCATCAACATGACATATACAGTTCGTTTCAGATTTTGCTTATCTTCCACTAGTCACGTCCTCTAGAATATAGCATCATAAAGAGCATGTTTTCCCTTTTCATACTTACAATTGTTGTAGGTGATCTTTCCTACATTAAATTAGATTTTTATTCCAGTTCTCTCACTGCAAAGGCAGTAAGCTAAATTCACTGACTACATAGAAAGGCTTTAGTTGTTGAAGCATGACACCTCGTTTTAATACATCTTCCTAATCGAATGATAGCTAGTTAAAAACTGGAAACTAAATATAGAGTTTTAAGAAGAAAAAAAATTAAAGATATTGGCTTCTTAAAGGTGACTTTCTAGATGTACATTCTT